GGTCTACTGACATTGTACTCATAGGAAACGGTGGGGGGAGGGGGGGGGGAGTGTCAAGCCTCGATAATAATTTGTCTGCATTGGCCTTCAAATGAGTTAGAGAGTCCGGCGGTGGACTATCTGTTTGCTTAAACACGTTAATGTTATTAATCCTTAAATCTAGAATGGATTAAATATTGGCCGTCAAGTTTTGACAGATTTTTGCTACCTACTGAATGGATGGCCCCGAAGGAGGCATTTCTTGAGCAGAGCGTGTGAGAGAGATTCAGACTCATTTAGTGGGTGACCAGCGTCGGATAAGTGAACAGGGTTGGGATAAGTGGACATATTGAAAACTATCCATGATGCAGGTTTTGTTTGGTTAGATCGCCTAAATATATAAATGTGTCGTTAAACCCGCCACCACCCGACACAGCCAATTAGTAAAGGTTTGTCACGTAGACAGAACGTGCCAAATCGATACTGGTACAGCACACCCGTGTGTTACGCGATCTAACCCCAAAACAGCTGTATTATGGATGATATTGGTCGCTAAAACCTACTACGTATTATATTGAAAATTAGTTACACCGTAAACATAAATAGGTTTAAACAATCTGGGCATACTTCAGAATATTATTGTACAAGAGATTCGGAATATTTGAGTGTGTGTGAGTGTCGGATAATTATTGAACAGGGTTGGATAAGTGAACATTTTGTAAACGTGTTACACCATGAACACAAAAATGTTATGTAACTCATAGACATTCGCGACTGACTAGCTTATGTAAAATCTGATAATGTTCTAGAACGACTAGCAACCTGAAATGGTATACATACCTATAGTCGACGCATTGTTTATAACTACACAACTCTGAGAAGCTAGGTCAATCTACGTACGTAACTTTACCGAAAGACCCAATAATCTGAGAAGCAAGAGCTTGGGCCTGGAAGTTGCTTGGTCTCACTCATACGACAGGGTCAAGCCTGAAATTCCACATTAGCTATACTGAACATTGTTTTAACCTTCACGGCTGTCACCATCCCTGTCATAAGTGAATCAAGTAATTCGCCTCCCGTGGCGCATAAGCGGATAAACGGGCAAAATGCCGCTACAAATTGCTTGCTAATTTACCATACTGCTCACAACGTGATTGCTAAAACACAAAGACCCTTTGCAGCTCTCTGAATAAAGCACGCAACACGACCAGTCGTTCTACAGCAATATCCCATAATTGGATTTAAGGTCTATTGTTCGAAGCTATTATACATTTAATTCCGTCCAAGTGTGTTACTGACTGTGGCGTTCAATTTGAATCTCCGTGAGAGACTCACATACAGAGAGCGCCAGAGGGTCGTGCTTTCACTTAGCTTGGTTCTCCCCGAACTTCCGACGATCGAGTTCATGGATGGAGTTGGTTGAAAAAGAAGAAAAACATAGTATTGTGATAAAGGTCACTTGACATTTCACATCTGGTGCCTGGGCTAAATAATAATGGAATTTAATAATAGGAGTTTTCCCCTTTTTTCTGGCAGCAAAACTGAAACCTTTTTACAAGGATTCATGTCTGCATTAACCACAATACCTGCAGTCAAAATGCAAACAAAAAACATACTATGATCATATATGCATTGTCCTTGAAACTGATTGGTCCACACCAAGGGACGGCTTTCTTTTGAGCCTCGACCCAATTGGTGTTCGACCGGTGAGCTATAAAGCTCTTTTTCACAGATGTCTAGTGAAGGCGGGTCAGAACGTTACAACAAACAATATAAACAACACGATAGGATATTCATATCCTTGATTCTTTCTGTAAAGTCACGTAGAAGGGAAATAATAAAATAATACAAATAAAACATCATAAAATAATAAAATTAATATTTCATTTTATTATGTTTTAATTTTAATCTTTTATTATTTCCCTTTTATGTGACTTTACCGAAAGACCGAGAATATGAATCCCTGCAGTCACGAAAGCTTTACATCGAAACACGATAGTAGTGCAAAGTATAGGAAAGGTAAACACATCACTTAAAATTATACAAATAAAAGTAAACGATTGGAAACCTCATTTGCCAGTAACAATATATGATAATTGTTTTTTTACCCTTTTATCTGGCAACAAAACTGACACCTTTTTTTACAAGGAATCATGTTTACATTGACCACAATACCTGCGGTCGGAACGCAAACAAAAAAATAACAACTCTGATAATGTATGCACTGTCCTTGAAATTGCAATCACATGCTTTCCGACCGCAGGTATTGTGGTCAATGTAAACACGACTCCTTGTAAAAAAAAGTGTCAGTTTTGTTGCCAGATAAAAGGGTAAAAAACAATTATCATATTTTGTTACTGGCAAATGAGGTTTCCAATGGTGTAAATGCTTACCCCGAGCTCTCATACTCTGATTGTGCATTGTCTTTGAGTTGTGCGCCTTTTGGCGTCTTCTGGTCCAACTCCATGTGAGACGAGGCTCTAAAGAAAGCTGTCTCGGGTGTGGACCAATCAATTTCAAGGACAGTGCATACATTATTAGAGTTGTTATTTTGTGTTTGCGTTCCGACCCACCGCAGGTATTGTGGTCAATGTAAACATGATTCCTTGTAAAAAAGGTGTCAGTTTTGTTGCCAGATAAAAGGGTAAAAAAACAATTATCAAAAGTAAACGATTTATGGTATTTTACCAGTTAAAGCACTCTGAGCTATGTAGCTTCTTTTTCAGAAGGGACCTGGCCTCAAATGATAGCGCAACAAAGTGGCTTATCACGTGGAAATGTATAGCTGCCAAGTGCTCTACAATACATGCACCGTGTATGATGTCCATTCGATTCATGTTCTCAAAGTCCCAGCGAAGGCTGACGTTTGGTATGGCCGAGGTCATGTTTATAACTAACACAAACTCAAAACACTTGTCAACGAAACCGCCTGTAAAATTACAATATGTATAATCGGCGGACGTTTCGGCTAATATGGCCCTTAAACATGTACACAATATTTAGAAGTAGCGATGTAACGATTTACACCCTTACACGCAACGGTGAGCCTAGAGACCAACCTTGTTTTAAGTCTCGTGCTAAACGCTTCCCAATCTACTGTCCCTATCATCAATTAAGGAAGTAATTGTTCACCTTCCGTAGAGTGTGATGCTAAAAGCCGAGAAGCAGGCAATGATTATATTGCCGTGGTCAATGATCGTGGACAGAAAATCCTGAAAAGCCACCTTCCGAGACGACAAACAACTCACCCGGAGCCACAAGGGGGCGAACGGAGGTCAGGAACCCGCCCTTCAACTTTCTCCTCCGCTGTATTTGAGACGTGCTGCTGCATTAAGTCCTTGCGGTCACTGGGGAGACACTGGAAGTGGCCATGAAGAGGCGACCACGACCTCTGGCCCATTGATATGATCACACCTCGCCATCGCTTCTTTCCTTCTGAACTTTAATTTTTTTTAATTTCTCCAAAATGTGATCTTTAATTCCTATTCCATTTTCGATCACACTCAAACCCGCATTATCTTATACTCATGGCCGATCCCATGCTGTAACCCGTGGTCATGGATCCAGTGTAACTTGTGGTTGAGCATGAGGTCAACCACTCCGTATAGGTGTTATAGAATTGAGCACGGAATAGAGCACGATGTCGACCAGAATCACAATATGTATTTATACTGGAGGAATCCGATGAGCTGTAAAGCTCTTTTCCTACAGATGCCCAGTAATTCCTTATATGGACAAGCATACGCCCAGGATAACCATATTTGGCCATCACACACCTACTTCATCATAATGTAGCCCTCCATGTCCGTGTGTGTTAATTTCTGCGTATGTGCATTTGCCAGTTTTTTTTTCAACCAATAGCTCGTCATTCAATAAAGAACACTTAATAAACTTAAATGAATACAGGGATGGTGAAAATGTTGTCACATGAAAGGATTATTTCACAAAAAGTATTTTCCAGATTGTAAGAACATTTATACAACATCTTCTCAGTTATTTTTTATTTTATTTGGCTTTTAGATTTATGCTCGCATGCCGTTTATTTATCTTAGCTACAGTATGCCCAAATGACATACGAATGATACATTAGTTTCCTTCTTTTTTAATGTAAACTTCACGTGAAACTGATATATCGTTACCATCTTGCCAGGCCCGACTTGAAATAGAGATGTTTTTTTTAAAATTATCACTATTTTGTTGTTCTAAGTAAATAGCTGATTATGGCCGTGTTTTTCCAGATAATAAGATGCATTTTTCCCCATATGTCAAATCAGCATTGTGGGTGTTTGTTTTACCAGATTATAACTTTATTGACACTGGGCACAAGTATGGGGTGCATCTTATTTTACGGAGCGTCGTATAATCCCGAGAATACGATTTTGATTAAACGTATAAGCAATTGTCCGTTTTAAATTTAATTGCATATTAAAGTGCATATATATACCTACAAAACTATGTCCAAATATACTTGTCTAAATGTCAGGATTTTTTTATCCTATATCAGACCTTCAACAAAATGTTAAACCGTAATCATTCTTTTGTAAAAAAATAATTAAATTGTGCTATGCGGTCAATTTAGCAATTTGCCATACCCACGTGTAGAATTCAAATATTTCCAATTTAGCTCCTATGGCATTAATTTTCATAAAGCACGCTCCAAATATTTGCGCAATTACTTTGCACGCAATTATCCCATTTGAGAAGGAACATTTGGAACATCGATTGAAAAAGTGGAATTGGGTCAGGGCACGTCGTAAGAAGAGTTGATGATGGCCGATAATCAATAATAGTGACCGATTACCGGCCAAGAAATATAAAGCTGGCAAGGATCGAAACAACTTTGAAGACTTCATCAACCCAGGAGTTGGGGATGATGAAATCAGCACATGCGCAGGTCCCGTGTGGATCTTTACATCATCTTCATCCAGCAGTGGAACGAACATGGCTGATGTAGATTTTGATGGAGCACGTGGAATTTATTACTGTACAATGTTCAACACGCGTACTGTCTTCATTTATTTACTACATTTACATGTTTGGCAATTGAGCCTTTAAATTGCTGACCTGAGGATGATGGGTGGGTGGGTGAATCTTTTTGAATAATTAAACTCGATTTTATATTTTGCCACAGCCAATCGCCGGCAACCCCTGACGACCCCACGCGTGTTCGTGGCACGGAACTGTGCTGAGTATAAAGAGCGACTTGGGCTCGTACGCCCCCCCCCTGCCCGCCCCAACTTCACGAGCTTCAAGGACTCTAAAAGGGGGGAGATGGGGGGTGAACAACAGAGGGTAGGGCGAGAGGCGGCGTCGCGGAGCTCTAATCAACGACTCTCATGGAATATTGCTCAGTGCAAAAAACCGAGCGCACGGGTTACGCAACTGACGACTCGCCCTCCCGTCGAGATGCCTCTCGTCGTTGTCACGGGCAGCACGCGGCCTCCGGCAGGAACGACACCGCGGTCTACGCTTCAGGTAACCGGCTAACGTCGGAGCTCAGATTTAAAGCGCACGCGGAGCTCAAAGCACGTGCGGGGGGCCCACGCATTTGTTGCTCGTGTGCGACGATTGTAGAACAAACCCGCCCGCGGTGTGGCGAGCAACTTCGGGTGAACGGCTGGCCCCCGTCAGGTGATCGACGGCAGACCGGGCACCCGCCGTACTGTGGTCGACATGAAATGCAACGCTGCTCGCTGGTTACTTGAGCTCAGTACTGGGGTTGTGTTGGCTACCGTGTACTTTTTTTTAAAGCCTCCGTTGTCAACGTAATCGGCATTTATCACCTTATTGTGCAACTCAAACAGCAGCATATTTGTCCAGCGTGCTGTGGGTTAGCTGAGGTCGTCACTGAAGCTTATGCGCTTTAAAATCTCGGGTGAAAACCCCACGTCTTTCGAACCGCTTGCTTGTGTTTAGTTTGTCCTCCGTCCCTCCGAGCCTCCGAGAAGCACTATCGGTCACTACGCACGGTGCCCAAAGAAGTGCAACTTAACAGTACAGACAAAGAGGGGTGTTTGGGACGCCCAATTCTCTGGGTGCGTTCCCCCCCCGCATGCGATAGCCATCGCCGTAACCGTTGCCACGAACCAAATCAATCTGGGTTACGTGAGACGGTCACATTTAGCGACGGTGGGATTTGGGCCAAACACCGACAAGACGACAACCATGACAATCCTTCCCGTGACACCTTCCAGCGTTACAGTACCATAACACTGGTGTGTGGCCGAACATGTGTGTTGGTATTCAATGGACATTAAATAACATGTTAATTTATGAAAATTGTGTGTTTTTTAGAACAGTCAACGAGATTAACGGACGCTGTTCACGCTTAAAACATTCCTGTGGGTTTATTCAATCTATCATGTTACGAAAACTGAACGCATTTGTGAATAACGCTGCCCTCAAGAGGAATATCTTTGTTATGAAGGGACATTGCCCGAAACGTCACGTATTGTTTTTTTTCTCTATCTCTAAGGCAGTGTTATTGAAAAATGTGATATTTTATTATTTGCGGATCCAGTATCGCAACAAAAAATAATTTTCCGTGGAATGTCACTGCAGCGGAAACGTGATAGCTCATTTAATACACAAGCTTGAGGTGTGTGCCCTATCAGTGACAGATGAACAGGTTCGAATCAATGAGGACCTAAAGGGCGCGTCTAATGTGACAAGTTAAATGGAACATTGGCCGCAGGTTCAGTGCAGCGTTAACAGGAATAATATAGGGGATGGTTGTGACCTCCGTGATTTCTTATCGGGACATTCAATAGAACCGCTCTCAGCTGAGGTGCTTTCAGTCGCAATTACAATTCGCCGGGCTACTTGGCCCACAGATTCATACTAACACAAGCTGTGGGTACTATTGTCCATAATAACAAACGATAACTACTCAACCATAATCTCTCAACCGCTGAACCTAACCAGAAACTCCTAAGCTTAAGCCCTAACCCCTGATGTCCAAACACTAACCGTGAACGTTTAAGCGGTAACCATAGACCCCGCCCATAAACAGCGCATATAAAACTAAACTCACTTGACCCTGACGCCTGTGATCGGATGAAAATATGGTCAATGATTGAATAAACATCTGTGGGGACAGTAGCCACAATAAATAACACATGCATGGTTTGTGTTATAGGTGTAGGGCCGATGCATTTCTTGAGAAGTAATGCGTATTTTACGATTTTTATTTTACCAGGTAAGGTCCACTGAGCTGTATAGCTCTTTTTCAGAAGTGACCTGGCCACAAATGATAGCTCGACAAAGTGGCCTATCACGTGGACATTTATGGCAGCCAAAAACTGTTCACGCACGATTCAAAATGTGGAGGGAAACAGTGGAGAACCCGGACCAAAAATCCACGCGACCACGGGGAGAGAGACACGCAAACTCAAAACACACGGGCGTCAGATCTGTCGACCCAGCTGAAACGCCCAAATTTAACTTTTTGCATGTACTGCTCAATGTATAACGTGAGTGTATTAGTTACATAATTTGCATTCCTAAGTCCTGTGTGCTCACTTCATACTCAAGATCCCAGTTTGAAATTGACCTGCAACTGTTTAATCATGCAGGCGTGAGTACTTGCATAGGATTCCGCATTTTTCTTCCGAAAGATAATGTATCTATTCTTGGTTCTTTCGATAAAGTCACGTAGAATGAGAATAAAACAATAAAACAAAATTAGACAATAAATTTCTCACGACGTTTCGGCCACAACACAAGTAGCCTTCTTCAGGTGAAGGAACAGAACTTGAGTGTCGTCCCGTAGGCCAGATTCCTTCCAAAATGACTCTTCATTGAAGCGCCGTCGTCCCGACAGTTCTGTTCCTTCACCTGAAGAAGGCTACTTGTGTTGTGGCCGAAACGTCGTGAGAATTTTATTGTCTTATTTTGTTTTATTCTCATTCTACGTGACTTTACCGAAAAAAACAAGAAGATGGATCCTTGCAGTCACGAAAGCTTTAAATCGAAAAAGAATGTATCTCGATATGCTTCCACAAGAAAACAATATCCAGCTGTTCTAGATTTAAAGCTTTCGTGACTGCTAGGATCCATACTCTTTGGTTCTATTGGGTAAAGTCACGTAGGTGAAAATAAAATAACAAAAAATCACGACGTTTCGGGCCACAACACAAGCGGCCTTCATCAGGTGAAGCGCTGTCCTCCAGACAGTCTCGTCCCTTCACCTGATGAAGGCCGCTTGTGTTGTGGCCGAAACGTCGTGATTTTTTGTTATTTTATTTTCACCTACGTGACTTTACCCAATAGAACCAAAGAGTAATATCCAGCTGTTTACAAACAGCGTGTTTAAATACAGTTGTATCTAGACGCACTAAACAGTCCAAAATATTTTGCAATGACATCGGTGGCAAGTGCTATCTGAACAAGCACTGGTCACTCTTTCAATAACCAGCACTGTCCAGGGGCCTATCATCCAGCAAAGTGCTGCACATTCAACAGACAGATTGTGTGTTGTTTGGCAATGTGTGTGGATATTCCCACCTCTTCCAGGACAGATTGGCCCGTGAAGGAGTAGGCCAGATTCCTTCCAAAATTACTCTTCAGAGACCCCCCCCCCACCCCTCGAGTGGAGGTGTTCCCACCAGCGGTGGTTGTGAGCAAGAAATTGCAGTGCAGCACCTTTTCCGAGCATTTTATTGCGTTGAATTGAATATAATAATGTACAATATATATACATTTCCTCTTAATGAATTTGAGCCAAATGCAGTAAATAATTGAAAACAAAGTGCGTAAATGCTGTAAACAGATGAAGTGCAGTGGTCAATTATTCACAAAGGGCTGTGAATTATTATTGAACATGTGAGATAATGCCACTTATGCTTTTGATCTCGCGTGCAAGCAGGTGGCCTCCAGGCACAGAGGGAGAACGGGCCTTTCCCTGCACGTCGCCACCATCCTGCTGCTGTCGCTGTGCTGTGCGCAATCGCTGACCCAGGGCCCCAAGCGGCAAGCGGCGGCTGCGGCCAGACCCCCGGGGGACCTGCCCTCGCCGCGCAAAGAGCGTCTCAACAGCTCGGCGGGACGCGCGCCCAAGGACGAGGTGCTGGCCTCCAGCCAGGACGCCCTCGTGGTGACGGAGCGCCGCTACCTCAAGAGCGACTGGTGCAAGACGCAGCCGCTGCGGCAGACCGTGAGCGAGGAGGGCTGCACGAGCCGCACGGTCATCAACCGCTTCTGCTACGGCCAGTGCAACTCGTTCTACATCCCGCGGGGTGCGGGAGGCCCCCTCGGCGTGCACGCCTTCCAGTCGTGCGCCTTCTGCAAGCCCCAGCAGGTCGGCACGTTCGCCGTGTCGCTGGACTGCCCTGGCCGCCAGCCGGCCGTGACGCGCAAGCTGGTGCCGCGCATCAAGCGGTGCCGCTGCATGTCCGTAAGCGTCGGAGACTGAGCGCTGTTGCGTTTCGTTTCGCCGCCGCCGCCGCCGCCGCTCGGCCCAGTCTTGCTTGCGAGGGATGCTGGGAGGAGGCGACGATGGACTTTCGTGGTTGTTGGGCAGCGGGAGTAGAGGCAGTGGAATGGCCAGTGTTACGTTTTCTTAAAAAAAAATAGTCAGCCGTTTTTATTTCAGTTAATCATGGCTGTGAGCGGATGAAAATGACTGCAACTGCCCACCGAGATTTAAAGCGTGGCTGATTATTACGAGAATCTTAACGAATTCTGAATGAAAATAGAGTCTAAGATGATTCAGTTAAGTTCTTAGAGACAGCAGTGTACTGAGGAAGATCAAAATCAGTAATTTTCTATACCTTAAATGTATATACAAGATGTTACCCAGTTCACCGATTGGCTGACCTGATAATATTAAGGGAAGGGGGTCAGATTGCTTGCCCCTTACATCAACATTTAGCAACTTAGGATAGACTAGGCTAAGATTATAATACAAAAAAAAACTGACTAAACGAACACTAGTTTCGGCTGTGTTTTTTGATGTTCCAAAATTGCTTCATGTTCAGGTGAAAGTCACCCAGTTAAATATGAAACTTTTTTTCATTTTACCAGGCAAGGCCCACTGAGCTACAGCTCAACGAAGTGGCTTATCACGTGGACATTTAATGCAGCCAATAAACGCGCGTTAATTCTAAATATGGAGGGAATCACTGGAGGACCCGAGGTCATGTCACAGTCGGAATCAAACCCGCGACATGCTGTATACCAGGCGAGGTAATTAACATCTCATCACCATGGCGCCCCAGTTGTTGTTGTCTGGAGTAATAAAAAAGAGAAATGTTGCCCGCGCGTGCACGGTGGAAGAATTACCGACGGCCGCGTGTAAACAATGAACAAGCCTAGGCTATTTATCTCGCCTACTCCTGGGGTTTTTTTTTCTTTTAAAGTATGTTGCTACAATTAAAACACTTAAACCTGTAAAATATCGGATCAATAGTGCATCAAAGAGGGGCATGCGGTTGGAATAATAAACACGACCCTCTTGGGAGTGATCCCTTCCTTGGACCACTTCAGGTCCGTGCGATCGGCTCCACTCAACACGACTGCCGATGAATACCCCTCCAGGACTTAATCATTTCCTATTGGTTTTCATCCGATGGGTAGCGTTCGAGACGTTTTGTCAAGCCAAGGGGTCTTAGTGTGTTGTGTGTCAAATGCTTAAAACTGATACGAAAGAGGTTGAATGATTGTTTCCGAGGTTCCTTGTGGTCACAGAGGTGGTTCTCAATCACAATATAACCCAAGGTTTTTTGCAAAATCAATAAGTAACTCAAATGTTCAGATTTTTTTTAAAGCAAAAGTGTGACATTGGCTATTTTCCGTGTTTTACCGAACACAGCAGTGAACTTTAATAAAACAAGTTAATGCAATTTCAAAATATTATTTCATGTAGAACTAACCTATTCTCCGGAACATTACGCACCCCCAACTTTTGCTGAAAAATACTGGGGGGGAGGTGGGAGGAGGAAATCAATTATCTTTTAATACGTCACAATAGAAATAGCTTTAATTGTGCCATTATCGGATACATCTGATTTTGCACGGTAGATATGAAAAAAGTATATTATTAAGAAGAATAAGCAAAGCCTATTGTGTGTTAAGCAATGTGCATTGCATATTATGAGTCTTCATATGGCAATTGGGTTCAGTTCATTAATTTAAACCTGGGGGGAAAAAATAGATCTGGCCCAGGTTTCTGCAGTCCTCGCACAGGCGATGCCTTGCATGAAAAGCGAAATCCTTTTAAGCGTCCAGTGCAACAGCACTTTAGAGATTATTACACCACATGCATATTTAAAATTGGATTTAAAATCGTTTTTACGGCATTACGTTCAGGTAACTGGATACGTAAAATACTGTTGGTCATAAAGAGACTTTCGTAACGATGTGCATAGTTGTAAAGATAGCATCCGAGATTTACAGAGCTGAGGTTATTTACAATTACATGAGAAGATTTCGCCTGGGTTTCATTTATATATATAAACTGTAGCATTTTGCCCACTTTCACTATCTTCAATAAAATAGCCAAACTCGAGGACTTTGGACCCAACATCGATAACTACTTTGAATAGTTCTTTTGTTAAATATTGTCATAAAAATGCTTGGAAATATATTTTTTTATTTGTAAACTATAATCATACTTGCTTATTTGTGCATTGCAGTCATTTTTGTGAAATTAATAAAAGAAAGGTACGTGGGAAAAATGACGTGTTGTCTTTTATAAAAAAAAATATTGAACTACAGCTTATCTTGATGAAGATTTCAAGATGTGCACGTGACGTGTGCGCTTGTTGGCACGTGGCGATTAAAGGGCTTCGGCCTGGATAAATGGCACATGAGCAATTTGCTTCACGGTATCATTAACCACGAGCAGCAACGAGCGATCCACTGCTGGATGAAGGCCTCCCCTCTAGCCATCGCCAGCTCTCCACGCCAATAAAACGAGCACCTAATACACGGGAGCCGATTTGACCGCTCCGTCTCCACAATGGTCGTCCGTGCTCTCAGACGCGTCACATTCCTTGGCTATCGCTCAGTCACAATCCTCGACTATCGGCCATCTCTCTCTTGCTGTCGACAGTTTAAAGTACGTCATTTAACCACCTTATTCTACTTTGGGAATGAAGCGGAGGATGCCCACTGCAACTTGAACCCCGGCTACCCGAGTTCAGATTCCTGGCCGCTGCTAACATCGGTGGCGATTTGTGTCTGAGCTGCACCTGGACACCCCATTCAGCAACTCCCACTGACCAGCATGGTGAAAAAATATGGTCAAGTCACTCATTTATTTCTCAAATTTCCAGATAGCTGCGAGAGTAGTTCAGTAGGGTAAGTGTACAGTGTAGACTTAAAAACAAAAATACTGCAGAGTTCATAATGGCAATTATTCACGCAAAAAGGCCAATGTCTGATAAAATATGGCAAGCTATGCTATAACGGCACGTACACATACACACATTGGGGCAAAGAAATAAAATTGCAAGTACACATTTGATACATTCAAATTTGAGAGACAACTACTTCACCTATACATTGCTATTGTAGGTGTAAATTATGTACAATTATTTACAATGTGCAAACTATTGCTTTTCTTGATTTCTATTTTTTTGGGAATCCTAAGCTGGATAATCATTCTCTTCGAGTTAAGAGCCGAATGGCTCACAGGGCTATACCAAAATAAATAAACTGAAACTAAAACAAAAAGTGCATCCACCTCAATTTCATCCTCCACAAGTCACCTCTGCACAATATGCATTTTTCCATTCTCTTGGCGATGTTTGCTTCCGTCACGTGGATTTTCCTTCATATATTTTTGCAATCACTCCAGCTTTCATCATATGACTGCAACACTGGCGGATGTGTGGCATTACAATTTGGAATGTTCGAATGCACACACACACACTGGGGTGACACAGTGATGGCAAACCACCGTATAGTGCCACCAGTTTATGGCCTTCCTGCTATACCTTTGTAAACAACGATGCGGTAAACGGTATCACGCAGACTTGCAGACAGTCTTCAGGGCCCACTTATAAACTTCAGTGAAATACCATTGGCCACAAAATGTGCGTGGTGAATATGCAGGGGGTTTTGACACTGGAAGTTTCCACGTCGGTCAACGTTTGCAGAGAACTAGGGTTTGGCCTCCTTCTGATGTAGTTTGGCTTTCTGCAAGGGAAAAAAAATACAAATGTAGACACGTGTCTCAGACGAGTCACAGGCAAAAAAATCGACACATTCGTCAATAATACTACGGCCTTCAAATGAAATAAATAAAAACCAATCCAAGGTGACGTTTCAGGAAATGGCGTTTCTATCATCGCGCATAACGAGTACGCAACTTTGACGCATCAATATCTGCACCAGTGCCAACATAGCATCAGCAAATACATATTTTTGTTTCTCAGACGAGTAGCTGCTCGCCACAATTCAACATGTAACGAAGCTCTATTTGATAACAAGTGCTCCACAGCAGCGCATGATGGGTTTGCGTACAGGATTGCTTCTTGCATCGAGTGCGAGGCCTTTCTTTTATACGGAGCGTTCTTGCCGCGAACATCCCAGAGCATTTTTTTTACAAGTTTTATTGCCGGCGACACCCAGAATGGTTGAAACCAGTCCAGAGTTTGCTTGGTTAAAAATGTTGCTTGGTAATATTGGTCTGGACTGATGGACGAAAATATATTATTTTATTCTAATGTAGAGACACGGGACAGTGTTCTGCCCATACTTATTTTACAACAAAGTAGAGGAACATAAATTTTGATTTGAAGCTTTCGTGGCTGCAGTGATTCATATTCTTGGTTCTTTCGGTAAAGTCACGTTGAAGGGAAACAATAAAACAATAAAATATATATAAAACAATAAAATTCTCACGACGTTTCGACTGTAACACAGTCATCACCTGAAACGTCGTGAGAAATGTATTGTTTTATATGTATTTTATTGTTTTATTGTTTCCCTTCAACGTGACTTTACCGAAAGAACCAAGAATATATAGAGGAACATAGTTTGAAAATTGAAAAAAAACATTGCGTCGCATTTAAGGTCTTAAATCTTGTCATTGAACACTGCTGTGAATTATGAAGAAACTGTGTAAAACATTGAGGCATAGCTGGGTAAAATAATGAATTATGATGCAGTGTTAGTAGACACATTGGGATGATTAAAAAAATAAATTCGTGCTGCAAAAAACCCGAGCATCACAATTTTTACGACCAACAAAGTGATTCAAATCATTAAACATAACACATTCTCATACAATGAATTACAAACTGTTACATTGCAACTAAAAGGTAGTCAGTATTTGTCAGTCACCCGATGACACTACTGAACATATGCATACGACTACACATCATACACAATGATACATTAAAGCTCTCGACATTGCCTTAATGTGTTTGTACTCGTGTTTGCAATATTTCAGAAGACTTTTTTTTTATTACAGTTAGGTTCACAATTGCTGTGGTGAGCAGCTGGTATGACCTTACCAGTCCTGTTGATTTTTTGGCAGTAGTCGGTGCCTTCTTTTCTTCCATCTTCTGCTGGACATTCTGCTGTGCTTGTTTGAGTCTAAAATCAAAAACAAAACGACGCATATATGCACAGGCATGTTCTATTCCTGTCAGCTTAAAGTTAGCCGTAATTTAATTGTGATAGGAATGTCTGGAGTGCTGGGGCAGCAGTAAACGCACTGCGCTATGAACCCCGCCACCTTAATTTGAATCTCATCAATGGCTAACTTTAGTGTCGAGTGATATCTGATACTGGTAATGGGGTCACAGCTACTTTGCCAATCCGCATTGACTAGTGTGGCGAAGTATAGTCAAACCCCAATGGCCTTCAACATTGAACTGACCAAGGGCTGTAAATTAGGCAAAGATGCAGCCCTGCAATTTTTGCTGACATCACTGCTGAAGAAAGGGCCTCTATTAAAGGGAGGTCTTGAGAGTATTTGGCCTACTCTTCCACGACTGCAATATGCTGTCAATATTTTGTATAAAAAAGCGTATATTTTAAACACACAAGAGTACATTAAAGAGTAATGATCCCGTTCGTACAATGTTATTTGGGGGGTGGTTGCCAAATAAGTATGGAAAGGTCTGTGTGCCTGGGTTTGCGTGCCACTGAAAGCCACGCTAATAGCCAACGTGCAGAGGCGATGCAAGCGAGGGAAAACTCACTCATGCCAACCGCCTCGTAGAGCAGCAAGTAAAAATAAATAGATGATGCGGGAAAGCAAAGTAAAATAAATTCCCCTCCATCATATTAAACCGAAAATTAATACATTAAAACTTATATAGTGTAAATTATAAACTATGACAGCACGTGTGTGTGAATTTTTTCAAAAGTGATCTACAGTGTGTATTTGCTTTTATTTATTTGGGCGAATGTGGAAAAAAATTGCGAGATTCTTCAGCAACGTGGAAACCCGAATGGAGAGTTTGCCTCTACAAATTTGTAGGGGAACTTTTTAGGCAACCACAGCACTAGAATTGTACAGTGAGGCAAAAAAAGTATTTGATCCCCTGCTGATTTTGTACGTTTGCCCACTGACAAAGAAATGATCAGTCTATAATTTTAATGGTCGGTTTATTTGAACAGTGAGAGACAGAATAACAACAAAAAAATCCAGAAAAACGCATGTCAAAAATGTTATGAATTGATTTGCATTTTAATGAGGGAAATAAGTATTTGACCCCCTCTCAATCAGAAAGATTTCTGGCTCACAGGTGTCTTTTATACAGGTAATGAGCTGAGATTAGGAACACACTCTTAAAGGGAGTGCTCCTAATCTCAGCTTGTTACCTGTATAAAAGACACCTGTCCACAGAAGCAATCAATCAGATTCCAAACTGTCCACCATGGCCAAGACCAAAGAGCTCTCCAAGGATGTCAGGGGCAAGATTGTAGACCTACACAAGGCTGGAATGGGCTGCAAGACCATTGCCAAGCAGCTTGGTGAGAAGGTGACAACAGTTGGTGCGATTATTCGCAAATGGAAGAAACACAAAAGAACTGCCAATCCCCCTTGGCCTGGGGCTCCATGCAAGATCTCACCTCGTGGAGTTGCAATGATCATGAGAACGGTGAGGAATCAGCTCAGAACTACACAGGAGGATCTTGTCCATGATCTCAAGGCAGCTGGGACCATAGTCACCAAGAAAACAATTGGTAACATACTACGCCATGAAGTACTGAAATCCTGCAGTGCCCGCAAGGTCCCCCTGCTCAAGAAAGCACATATACATGCCCGTCTGAAGTTTGCCAATGAACATCTGAATGATTCAGGGGACAACTGGGTGAAAGTGTTGTGGTCAGATGAGACCAAAATGGAGCACTTTGGCATCAACTCAACTCGCCGTGTTTATAGGAGGAGGAATGCTGCCTATGACCCCAAGAATGCCATCCCCACCGTCAAACATGGAGGTGGAAACATTATGCTTTGGGGGTGTTTTTCTGCTAAGGGGACAGGACAACTTCACCGCATCGAAGGGACGATGGACGGGGCCATGTACCGTCAAATCTTGGGTGAGAACCTCCTTCCCTCAGCCAGGGCATTGAAAATAGGTCGTGGATGGGTTTTCCAGCATGACAATGACCCAAAACACACGGCCAAGGCAACACAGGAGTGGCTCAAGAAGAAGCACATTAAGGTCCTGGAGTGGCCTAGCCAGTCTCCAGACCTTAATTCCATAGAAAATCTGTGGAGGGAGCTGAAGGTTCGAGTTGCCAAACGTCAGCCTCGAAACCTTAATGACTTGGAGAAGATCTGCAAAAAGTGGGACAAAATCCCTCCTGAGATGTGTGCAAACCTGGTGGCCAACTACAAGAAACGTCTGACCTCTGTGATTGCCAACAAGGGTTTTGCCACCAAGTACTAAGTCATGTTTTGCAGAGGGGTCAAATACTTATTTCCCTCATTAAAATGCAAATCAATTCATAAAAAAATTTACATGCGTTTTTCTGGAATTTTTTGTTGTTATTCTGTCTCTCACTGTTCAAATAAACATACCATTAAAATAATAGACTGATAATTTCTTTGTCAGTGGGCAAACGTACAAAATCAGCAGGGGATCAACTACTTTTTTCCCTCACTGTATTTCAGGCAGATTTTTATTTTACATATGTATAAAAAAATTAAAACGACTCAAATTAAATTTCCCCAACTTTGTATTGGACCGTACATTATTTTACACATACTTGCCCACCCTATTGATGGTTAAAGCGGTAGGCTGGTTATCTTTAAACCTTTTTCCTGTACACCGATTTTCCAAGTAAATCATTATCGCTTTATAACATTTCCAAACATAAATATCACGTCTTGGATGCAACACTTGTGCTGAAAGTCGGGAAGCAGTAAAAGGGTTAGCAAATCGTCAGCCTATGACTTTCAGATATGCTTCTGCGGCCGTCTGGAACGCTCTTCCTTCCGATATTCGGAAGCCACTAAAGCTACGCAATTTTAAATCTCGAATAAAAAGTCATTAATTTATAATTGCTTTTGTGTTGAGTTCGTCGTCCTTCCCCCGCACCTTCGATTATTACTGTTGGCTACGTACTGTGCAAAACAAGTTCAACATACATACATACATGGGCAAGCACGTGACACGCATGTATCTGAACTTCAGAAATACTCCGAGTGTCTCAGCATGGCCATATACTTTCCAGGCCTCCCCTAATCAGCATTAGGGTAGAAGCATTAGTCGTCAGCGTAGGGGTTTTAATTTACATCATGTGATGACGGGAGTCGGTAATGTGACTAAGATTGGCACGAAATTAACAGCGGGAGTGGAAATCTCACGATGCGCGCATGTTAGCTCTAAAAGCGCAGAAGGTGGGTGACATTGCTGTGGCAATTTGTGCTGTTCATAGCACAACCTGAATACTTGCCTCACCTCCAAGCTCCAACGCGCCTTGTTAGCCGTCTCGTACGTAACTTATTAAATGTTACGTCAATCGCAGTGGCCGTCGCTGTTATTTTACATCTGCAATTGTTTTTAATTTTTTCCCACAAAGTTAGTTCCGTAAAGAAACGCTTAAAAACTCACGTGTGAACTAAGCAAAATGAACATTTTACAATGTTTATTACTTAAATTGAAGCGCTTTGGTATAGTAACACTGAAAGTGAACCACAAGAGTCAGTGTAATTAAAGGGGATGGGAATACATCTACAGTGGATGGCTAATGTCAGCAGCTGGCTCATCGGTAGAGCAAGCGGCTCGCCTTCTGGAGGTCACATCAATCCTTCCTGGGGTCATTAAAACGAGTACCACTTTGTGGTTGCCCTGTGGAAAAACCTGCCACCACCATATAAGTGCGTAATATGCATCACTGGCTCAGGACTGTAAAAATAGCAGATGACCAACACTTCAATGCTCATTTAAGCAATAACTTACTTTGAAATTCAGCAGACCGATGGCATGTTATATAAAGGTAGAGTGGATCATATCGACAGTACAAGCAAAAGCTAACAAATATCACATAGCGCCGCATGATTGTTTAACCATCAATCAGAGACAGGGCCAAGGGTGGCCAATGAGCTGTCAGCCACGGAAGCCACAGGGCCGTGTGGGACACTGCCTCGCCGTGCCATAGCATACTAGAAATATCAGGATCTTACAGCTCTGCAGCGATGAGCTTGCTGTCTTTCTTCCAGCAGTCCTTGAAGTGTGAGCAGAACTCGTGCCACAGCGAAAAGAAATGATTTGGAGAGACCTCCTTCTCTCCTGACCGGGGCTTTATACCAAAGAAGCGAGCCGTCTCGAGAAAACTGACCCGATAAACAATTGCAAACGCACATCGTCATCATCATCATTATCGTTATCATTATCATCATTATCATCGTTATCATCATCATTATCATCGTTATCATCATCATTATCATCGTTATCATCATCATCGTCATCATCATTATCATCGTTATCATCATTATCATCGTCATTATCATCACTCACAATCGCCTCCATCAACATAATAAAACACAGTACACACCGTCAAATATCCGACTTGCAGGGAACTGCTGTAGTATATAGGTGGATATGTGAAAAGGGCCAGATTTTTTAACGTATAGATAAGCATGAATGCATCCGCCAATGCCACACAGTGTAGGCAGTCAATTGGACAAGGGACAGTCGGATATGTGTCATTGTGCTGTACGATCGTTCTCATGAGCATTGCCTTGTAACGTTAAATTTTAGAGTTAAATATGCACAAAAATAATCGAGAAAACTATCAAATGCTACTTTTAGTAAAAGCTACGAAAAATAAAATAATTAACACTGCTGGCTTATTTTTCTGCAAAGTTAAAACATTTGCTTCGAGCCATTGAATATTTATTTTGGCGCCATAAAAAAGTTCATTAGATCATGCCTGGTCTTTCATCCTGTTCCTATGGGCTTACCTTGCGTGCGATTCTTCCAGAAACCTCTCCTCTGCATCTTGTTCAACTTTTGCTGAAAATACACAGACACGATAACACAAGGAGAACTCTTTATAATTAATGTTTATTGCGCCAACTCGAATAGCTCAGCTGAACTCTGGAAACAATATATTCCAGCAACAACACCAATGGTGCATTACAAATGTGGGGGGCTATTCATATTTACTTGAGCGCAAGGTTCATTTGTTTAGTCGATAACTGTGTTAATAAGTTGTCTGCTATTGGCATTTCTCACAGCAGGCTGCAAATGTGAAACACTATATCATTCATTTATGCATCAAAGCAATGTTTGGCAATAGCCAAGTAACAAACACAAGTTCATATTTTTTTGTGTTGTTTACTAACTCAAATCACCAACAACTATCATGGACATATAATGTGAACGTTTACTATTTATTCAATTGATATTCGGTTGAATCTAGATGCAAGATAAATCAAAATAGTAATTGTTGTTGTAATGTATGCTACATTAAAAAAATAACGGAACAAGGCAGAACACATTAACAAATACATTGCAAATGAGATCATACAATTGAGACGCAGTGGATTCTTGAATAGAATTGTGACCTCAAATTGTGACACCTGGAAACCAGGCATGCACATTTAGAGCGCCGACAACAGCATTTCGATTTCTCAAAGTTCTGTACATCTTTGAAGTACAAGCACACAAGTAGTTCGCAATAATTTGTTGTGCGAATGGATCTAATTGTTGCTATTTAGCAAAGGCGAGGAATTGTACTCCTGCCAACACCGTTAAACTTTTTTTTGTTAGTCACCGTAAAAGGTTGGGAGTTTATTTTTCCCCCACGCGTATATATTTTTTGGCTCCAGAAGTCCTCGCGAGCGAGCTGGGATGCCTGACGCAGGGATGAATGTTGTCGCTGGCCAAGCCCACAGAAGCCGCGTCCAAAAACAACCGCGTAAAGACAAATCTGCTCGGTTCACTTGTTACAAAAAGCCACTGCCGTTATGAACCGTGATGTTTTCTGCTGGCACCGGCTTATGTTACACATTTTAAGTGAATAATTTCTGATTAATATCCATATATTTTGAACTGTTAAAAAGACTGAACAGAAATGTATTGCACTTTAGCGAAGTAAATCGCAAAGATTGTTTCAAACGTTAACGCAGTATACTGTGAGAAGGCTTAATTGGCTGAGGCTCAATGTAGGAAACATTCTGGCCTTCTTACAGACTGTTCAAAACGAAATCAAAGCAATCGTCAAATAAATTATAGGCAACATTTTTGCTACCTGAACCTTAACTCATCAGTCTGTTCAAGCTTTTGCACCTTAAAAAAACAAACTAAGTCTTAATAATTTCAGGATATATGCAAAGATGTGTTTTAAGGTGGCATCAAACACTCCTGACTTCTCGATTTGAACGGGAAAAGAATAATACGAAGAAGAAAAAAAACAACGGTATAAATTTTCCAGTGAAAGAAGTTCTTTCTTGTTAAAAAATAAACAAGCAACTCATTAGACAAACAAATACGCTTGCAAGCAAAACTGCCAGTCATGACATCGCCGGGGTCTTTAAGGGGTTAAGCCCCCAGAAAGAGGGATAGTGTCCCTACACAAACCTCTCCCACTTGCACGGCAAGAAAAAGACCGCTTAAGTCTCGGTTTTTTCCCCCTCCGCCACTCTCTCACGCGTTTGCCATTCCGTTGGGAAGTCGGACAGGATGAACTATGTGTCACTTGGTGCCTCCGCAGGGTGCAGCAGCACACAGCAGGGGGGGTGGGGAGGGGAGAGGCAAGGAGGCCGCTGCTTGGCCGTAGCCCCCCTGACCTCTGCCCTTTCTCTCCGCCCTCTCGCTCCGCTGCGCCTTTCATCAGGCGCCTTGTGACTAATGCATTGGTCTCAGGCCGTGACTTTTCCCCGCGCGCAGGCAGGCAGGCAACTCGCCGGCCCTCTCTCCCGCTCAAATTGTGAGGCCACCTTTCATCTCGCGCGTGTTGTTTCTTCGCTACTGTTACAACGTCCACCTCCTCTCTGTCGCCGGCTCCAGCGCCGCACTCACAGCACGCCGGATGGGGGTCAGGCCATGTTGTTCTAGCAATTACATCGGCGACGCTCGAAAACTTTTCGGAAAGTTGCTCTCAATTCTAATTAAGATCAGCAATTGCACCCGTTATGTCACTACGCCGAAAATGCCACAGAAGATACAGCAATTAGTGAAATGTCACGCAGTCATGTTACTAGAATTTCAATGTAGAATTTACAGAGCTGTATATGCATGGATTAATGCCTCCACCCACACTGTTGTTGGTCATGGCGGTTGATTGACCATACTTCACCATGCTGTTCAGTGCCCAGGGCTCCTTCATAGATCACTCGCCACCGATGTTGGTCACGGCCGGGGAACAAACCCAAGTGGCTCGGCTCACCACGCAGTGGGCTAACCACTGTGCCACCACTGTCCCCAAAGCTGTGCTATTCCGCTGCAGATTATGAACAATCAGGATTGACAAAGTATCGAAGTTGGAGTTGCGAATCAATCACTCGTTACAAGAAAGCCTTGCAAGCTTTGGAAGCGGCTTTGCGAATGGGGCGATGTGTTCCTGCACACGCGATACACCAATATTCTGACACGTGAGCTCTTTACCTCCGCAAAGTTGCCTTCATCTCTACGCGACATCAACTGCTCACCTTACTAAGCTTTTTGGATCAATGCGGCTGAAAAAAAAAATCAATTTTGAGTGGCACTGACGGAACCCGCTGTGAAGCATTTAATAGGTTGTTTTTGTAAACAAGTCACCCGATATATTGTTTCAGCACTACCCTACGGGCAGCACCGGCCCACTGCAACTGGAGGAGGGCCTAGGGATTACTGATCTGAGGGCACGCGATGAGGCTTCACTTCGTCAGCCACCGCGACGACCCGCAGAGAGATACATTTCATCAACTGAAGACCTACACATATGTGAATAGATATTATTTCAATCGCCACGTATTGTATGAAGTCAGGTTGCAGGCATAACGTTCTTGTTGTTGTAAAAGTAAACGTGGATTGGTGGACACTGCCGTGGTGTAAAGGTCAGCATACTAGACTCCAGAGGTCGCCGGTTCCATCTCCCGGCGTGGCGGTAGACAATCGGATGTTTGCTCAGTGTGGAAGAGTAGGCCAAACTTCCCTCCAAGGGGGCTCTCAAGAGCTCCTCTAGACCCCTCTTGTGTAGGCCCTGTTGCTAGCAGTGGAGTGAAAAATAAATTGCAGGACTGCACATTAACCCTTTCTATATCCATAAATCAAACATTTTATCGTAATAATTTCTACACGAAGCAATTTAATATTTCTGCAATTGATAACGCTTTTGTTGTTATTTTAATGAGACCATTATTGCTCAAAATTGCAATTGCTCTTGCTGGCAGTGTGTTAATTTTTAAGAGCAGATTAATTAAGTGGTATTTGGCTTGCTAACAAAGAACCCTTTATTGCAATTTGAGAATCGCACTTTGGTTCACAATTAGCCACTGTGACCCTACACTTGCACATCATGACTGTGAGATCAATTACAGTAATTAACTTAGCTGAGGCCAATTCACTGGCTAACCAGTGGAAGGTGTGATGATGTGTAATTCCTTTCCTGCTCTGCCCTTCATACTAAACCAAGGTCTAAGAGCCTGGGCTAAAAGCCAATGAGCTGGCGGACTCTAAGAGGGTTAAGCGAAGACACCATGCTGCGCTTCCACGACCATTGGTAACCAGACCCGAGTAACGCTTGAACGTTCTTGTCTTAGCCCAGCAGAGCTCATTTCTTGCCTCAAAGTTTCATTTTCGCACGGCTCCATGGGCTCGGGACTGGACATCTATGAAAAAGAGCTTCATAGCTCAACGGATTTGTCCAGGATGAAGAAATATTCTGATTCCGACTCCTCCTCCATCCCTCGCCACCTCTCCCTTCGCCCAAAGGTGGGCATGAGTAATTCATAATAAGGTTTAATAGGTGCTTGCGTTAACACATACTATCCAAAGCTAAAATATCTCCATATATAATTTTACCTATGCGTCGCTATTTTATGCAGATATTAAAATTTTTACTGGGGGTTTTTTCTTTCTTTCTTTACAAGTGCTATTTATCTTTTTAGCTAAATAAGGCACTTAGCAGCCTCCACGTAAAAGGTGCTTTAAGAGAGTACATTATTATTATTATTATCCGATGGCATTATAACTGCTTCCGGAGAGCAGCTCCAATTACCGGCCCACTTGCAGGCTTCTGAAATCGAGCAAGCGGGCCTCCTCGGCCCAGTTCGGCCGACGTGGGAAATCCGGGCCGGCTCGCCTCGCAGCTACCGCAGGGAACGTGGCACGAGAATCCGAAACTCCGAGCGCGCGATGGGCCACCGGCCACCGTCATCCGTCGCCTTACGGCGGCCGCGCACCTTTCTCGACGAATTCTTCCATTTCGGACTTGAACGGCTCCAGATTTTCCTCGCTGGAAAGTCGGCAAACCTTCGCCATCTCAGTCTCGCACACTGCACGGGAGAGATGCGAGAAGGGGCCCCGGTGGTTAAGTCACAGACTGGTAAGGCACGTAACGACACGTTGAGTGAGCAATCGGATGTAGATTTTTTTTTTTGCTGACAATAAATGCGATAAATCACGCGCGAATGTTAAGCTTCTGTTACACGGAGCCTGATCAGAGCAAACGCGGAAGGCGGAACTCATAGGAGGCAGGCAATACAAACGAGACAGGACATGGGAAACGGAGGGTAAAATGAGACTGCACAAACGAGGCAGTACGAATGAATTTTGAAAAGACAAACGGAACATATGAGACCTGACAATTAATCAAATCACTTTGAGGGTGAACTGTCATTCGCTTACTAATCTAACAAGCATTGCAACTCGGTGGATAATAGAGCCATTAGGAATTTAAATTTGTTGACAAGTTTAAATAGTAAGTGCCAACACCAGGGGATTTCGTCAATGAAATTATATTGCTTGGTGTAAAAAATGTTGCACTTTTTGTGTTCATACCAGATGCTATTACCCACATTTACATAAGTGGTACCACGTTAAGTAACAAACTTAAAACACGCTTGGCTGACATAATCATTTGAGCCTTTCTCCAGACCTGTTTTCACACCATTTGAGGCCCGGATTTATTTTGCAAAAGGAAAATATGCGGCAAGCAAAACACAGGGTGCCCAGCACGGACACCTTTCAACGGGCAAACACTCACGCACACACATGGAGATTTCTTTAAAAGCTCGCAGACATTCAAAAATGCCACGTCGCACGCCACCGACCCCAATTCAATACATTCACCGAATTCTCTCCTGGACGACAAACACAACAACCCACGACACCTGAACGTGTCATCGTCTGCTCAGTTTACGCGCTGCAGAGAACAATAAGTTGTTATTTCACAGTCTCACGCCTCCTGCATTGTTTCCCATTACTGCACCTTTCCTTGCTTCAGGAGTGAAGGGAGGTGCGAAGGTGGTGCTCGATTTCAGGACAATAGGTGTCAGTAACAGGTGTCCCAAGGCCTCCAAAAATAAAAGCAGAAAGTGGAAGAACTGAAGCGGGTTTTTATTTTGTTATGGGACATATATACCCATTTGCCAATCCACGGCTGGATTAGGGCCTAGCCACTCCACGCAGGCCATTGCGGTTATTTAATAATTCTTCACCACGCTGGTCAGTGCGGGTCGGTGAAGATGGGAGGACACATTGTCATGAGGGCATGTTACTGTACAACAATTCATTTTGCTGCATTGGTGACAATGTAACCCCCCCCCCCGCCCAGCGACAGCAGACTATAAATGCATCTTGCGTGCACGGTGATCGCCAACGATCGAGGCTCAACTTGGATAGTGCTTGGAGATGATTGGGTGAATTTTGGGTAATTTGGCCATAGGGTGTGGGGGTTTATGGGTTTTTAATTTGTTTTTTATTAATGCAGCTTGTGCTGGAAAATGCAGACTCTAAATTACGACACTCACGTAATAAGAACTATTTTTTTATTTTACCAGGTATGGCCCACTGAGTTATATAGCTCTTTTTCAGAAGAAACCTGGCCAAAAATGATAGCTCAACGATGTGGCCTTATCACGTGGAAATTTATAGCAGCGAAACACTCTAAACGCGTGTTTCTAAATGTGGAGGGGGAAACCGGAGGACCCAGAGAAACATCCATGCGACCACGGGGAGAGAGACATGCAAACTCCAAATATACAGCAAAAATCAGGGTAGGGATCAAACCCACGACCTCCTGTATACCAGGCGAGGTAATTCACATCTCTCCACCGTGGCGCCCATGCACCAAGAAAACCCTCTCTGAGTGCCACAGACACCTTTTTAGAAGGGTCGTGCATTTCGATGTTTGTTCAATTCCAATAATGGGTATTTTGCATGTGGGAACAACAGTATAATAAATGGGAGTAACCCCATTCATACGAGGTAACGGTCTCAAAGTTCCCCACAGACAGTTTAAAAAATCCATTGGCCACATAACCCAAGCCTACATTCATATATTCCCATCAGCCTCCCATTCAAATACCAAGTTCAAAGCGTGCTTAGCTCCAGAGATCAAACCAGATCAGGCGCAGAGTGATTTATGAGGTTCATTGGGTCGACTACAGCATTCATATAAAGGTGCGCACAAAAGGTCTTGAAGCATTGTAGGCCAAGTTTCCATGGTTGTCACCCATCACTACAGTTTACCCAAGATTATTCCGGCTTTAATTTGCAGCTCTGCGTGTGAAATATATCCTTCATGTCAAAACAAAGACAAAGATCCCCCGTATAGCCTGTAACAGACTTTTGGGGCAAGTGCTGTTCACGAGCACAGCACACGAAGGGCCAATACCACGCTTGGCTGCCTTTGTATCCCTATTAGTGATGTTTACACACCGCACCAGGTACTAGTTTGAGGCCGAGTCGACCTAGGGGAGGCCCAGGAACTGTTCAGATAATCGTCACTGGCGTTGGTCGTGAGCGGGAATCGGACTCGGTTTGCCTGATTCGTAGCACAGCGTAGCGCTAACCGCTACACCACCGCTCGCCCACACGCACACAGGTGAGCTCACGTCCAACCAGAACGTTCAAGAACGCCAACCGAAGCAGACGGCAGCGTGTATTTTGACCCTCATTACGATGGTCTGTCTGTAATTTTCTTTGTTTTATTATTATTAGCTGTGCATTATTGGGGGGGGGGGGGGGGGGGGGGGTGCTTCCAGTGACGCAGTACGGTAGCAGGGGCTCCCACTGACACTTTTACACTTGGGGTCTCCCCGTTTATCACCGGCTGTAAATTGTTTTTATAGACGCGCTGATTACCAGCCAGCGCCAGACACCGCTTCCTGGGGTCCAACAACCAAGGACCCCCTCTGCACTGGGCTAAAGTTTCCTCTAATCCCAGCCCGCTCTCTCTTTCATCCCATTTATTGCCGAAAACAAATTATTTTTACAACCTACAGCGATCGAACGCCAGATTCACCTTGTAACCGAGAACCTCTCTCGCCGTCGACCCGTACGTCGCAACCGTTGCGGTAACGGCACGTACACCGTGCTAAAGGGGGCAGCAGTGTCCATCAATTGTGAGGTCCATATCCCAGTCCGGATAACACACCCCACCCCCCAACCCTCCCCCCCCCCCGCTCCACTGACCATCTTTGTCTTCCCAATGTGATGCCTCAACATTTTCCCAGCCTCCCCGGGCTTTCCGTTACCCTGCCAGCTACGAGCAGGCCTACCGCCACCACGACCGCTCCTTAACACTCGCGCCTGTTCTCCCGTGACGAAAACTACACCGACACTTTCAATAACCCCATTGGTCGTCTCAAAACCAGTATCGTCTTATGTACAATTTTAGAATCTCCGTAAAAGCGTCTTTTCCAAGGCCCTTTTGCAAATTTCGATTTGATGCGATCTCAAGTGGAGCTGTTCGACAAGGAAAAAGCAGCAACAGCTTTTAATGCTTGCGTTCATATTTATATACGAAGGGCGTTTCAGTCGGTGCACCATTTTCTCCTTCATTGTTTCTCAACCGTAAAGGTTCTGAAGCAAGCACTTCATGTCTGTATGATTTTGGGAAGGGGCACAGCCACCTGTGAGTATTGTGGGGGTCCGGGCACCCCGCTAAATGATTTGACATGGCTGAGAGGCACATTTTTGGGGGAAAAACTCACGGTATATTCTTCAGTCCAGGGGACAAACTCACGGTATATTATTGAGTCCAGGGGAACAACTCACGGTATATTATTGAGTCCAGGCTTTTTTCTCTCTTCCACAAGGTGATATAATCGCTAATCTTTATGCCGATAAAACATTGAATACACAGCAGGGCACACAAACAGTCGGACTCAGCACCGAGCCAGTAGCCAGTAGTGGCATAGATTTAATGTAATTGTAGTTAGAGAAGGACTCCTCTTATCCGCGATGATGTTGGGGGGGGGAGGGGGGTGTGAACTTTGGGGATCCTGTCTATAATCTACCTAAGAACCACCATGAACCAACCATTCACTTGTTGGGGATGTTATCTATAACCTACCCAATAGCCACCAGGAACCAACCATTCCAGCGTCGGACAGCTCCCAACCTCCATAGTGTGGCCGTACCCCCCACCCCCCCTTGCTTGCAGGTCCCGATGCCGCTCGAAGCCCGGAACGGTCCTCGTCATCATCGGCGCTTCGACAAAAACGCGGCGGACCCCTCCGTCAACCGCTGATGCGGCAAACTGCTGACGCGATGCAAACCTGGCCGTTTCGGCAACGCGTGGAGCTCGCGGCCACAACGTGGCGCTCGCAAGGTAAACGGGGCGCCATGGTAAAGACAGGGCATCGTTAAGCCGCCTAGATATTTCTCCTTTGGTCACGATCCATCGAGCACGTCCGCTCGATTACATCGCCGTGCAGCGCCATTACCGCTTTCACGGGTTTCTTCAAAAACGAAAACACATTGTAGATATTCTTGGTTCTTTCGGTAAAGTCACGTAGAAGGGAAACAATAAAATAATAAAAATATAAAACATTGTAGATACCACACTTCACTCTGTGCACGGTGAGAAAAAAACATCATTTACATTTCTCTCACGACTGCCGATCAAAATGTTTTTTTTTACCTTAAGGTTATGAGTCAGCTTATGACAGAATCACCCACAATTCACCTGACCTCAGTAGACCTGGAAAGCTAAGCAGGTTCGAGTCTGGATAGCACTTGGATGGGTGACCACCTTGCATAGACCAGATGAGTAGGCCACTGTGGGTTATGTTGTCAGCACAGACCGGTGCAGAAAAAATCACTGTTGTACTGTACTATCCTAGAACGTCTATGCTGTCCGCATTCACGAACCCGCATTGATCAGCATGTGGTCAAGTATGGTCAAACATCCCCCATCACCAGCATGGCAATGGCGAGAGCCTGACCCAGAAGCGGGCTGACAAACGCGGATGTACATGTACAAAGTTACCGAATTAGAAAATGTAAGCAGACACCTTGTAGATCTTTCCTCAATTTCCGCAGATCTTTTTGAAAATCATCAAACTTGAGCTGCGAGACTTGGAACAGATCCTGCGGCTCTGGCAAGGGGAACACACTGTGGTCCGTGCCAGCGTTCTGAGATAAGGAGACAAAAACAACCCAAAGCAGCATAAACAATTACAACTCTACGCAATTTTTTTTTCAAATAAAATACATCAGCTGCATCATTTAAGATGCAAGCGCTGCTGCAGCATTTTAGGATTGTTCAAAACAGTGCGTCCACGTGAAAAATCACGATTCATAAGAAGGGATTGTATTGCCAGATGTCTAGCCGATAACATCTATCTTCCTCAGCTCTGAGTTAAGAGCTGTTAAGAGCCAGCAGAGCTTTCAAGCAGTGGTGCATTAGGTAGGCTAGTGTCAGAGCTTGGTGTGAGCAGATCAGTGGGTGAGCAGTGCTGATATTTAACGTGAGATAGTGGGCGTTGTATAATTGTTCATGCGCTTACCTTCGAGACAAGGGCAATCGGACGAGACACATTTGCGTGGACAGGTGACGGACTGATGCACAGAAGGTATTACGGTGTGGTAGCGAAGATGCTGAAATAATACAATCATGGCACTACAGGATGGGATTTGGTGATAATGTCAACACAAGACAGATGGTGATACATAGGTGAGTTGAGAATGAATGATGATGATTATAATGATGGTGATAATATTTACTTTTGGTTTCATTATTTAGTTTTGTATGCATTATTTGTTGGTGCAGTATGACATCTCACGGTTTTGGCTTTTATGCTCGTACATGAATTCAGCAATGTGCTACATTTCCATGTCACTGTACACCAGCATACTTTTTGTCAATTAAAGACACAAACACATTTATCTTAAAAAGAAGCAACCTAACGCAGACAAGTTGCATTTAAAACAACACAACAAATATCAAAGAAAGACGAGGCATGCAAGACAAGACAAATGGGACCGCCTTTATAGGCACACACGCACATAGCTCTACATATACAAGACGCGCATACACATGCGCGCACGCACGCACGTAGAAGGATATCAGGGCGAGCAAGAAAGACAGAGGAGCATCCTACACAGACAGATAGGTAAACTCCCTAGGGAGGCAAGTGGCATACACGGCCCAGCCCAGCAATGACAAGCGACAAGCCTGCGCAACTAATTATCCGGCTCACTAAAAAGGGACCCACGCCACGTTCGAACAACATGTGGAGCCGATCAAGCGAGAGCCCAAAGAATGCAAACGAAGACGGTGACGACTTTGAAACTCGCGGGGGGCTTTGATGCCGCAAGCAGCGCTGCTTGTAACGTCGCCCGAGCGTGGGGGAGGTCCCCATCGCGTTGATTAATGCAGACAGGGGCGACCCCCTCCAACCCACCACCACCACCACCATCCGCTACCTTGTCGATGTTCCTCAGATAAAACGTCACGATGTAGCTGACCAGGCTGATTCGATTGTCCTAATGGGAGAGGGGGGAAAAAAAAAAACAAGAGATCAGATGTACTCAATTATTCCGGGCTCTTGCCAAAGGTGAAGTGGGCAAAACAAAAAAAAATAGTAAAAGGCATGTGAATACATCACCGGTGAATGAAATAGCTCCGTGATGCGTTCTCAGGTTGCACGGCATGTTTGTTTGGCACGATTTAATGTTGTGGATTTATTTTGTGATTTATATACGTGCCGTGATGATTTTGCTTCGTACAAACGATCGTTCCAACTTCACAATTGAAAGAGCTTGGTAACTGAAGAAGCTTCCCAGCACGTGGATCGAAACATCGGACATCGCGCCGCGCAACATTTGGCACAAACCCGTCGGCGTACCGGAGAGTTAAGCAGCGCAATGGTGACACCCCATGCAGTAGATGCGTGTGAAATATTCATTTGCTGTGGCCTTTTTTTTTTACTCTGGCTATAACGTTTGTCAATCGTGTCTCCCTCTCTTGCTCGCCAGTTTTACACAAGTATTTCCAGGAAAGCGCTTGCAGTCGAGATCCGAGCTCCTGGTAACAATGTGCCGATGCCGATGTAATCTCGGTGAAATGTCGCGTCCGTTTAAATGTTGGGAGTTTGCCCTCTAAAAACACCGGTGGTGCTGACAAAGCCGTAATAAACTTGGCACGTTTGATTCACGTGACACTTTTATTAATTGGGTTTGTCGGGTGGAGGAGGGTTTACGACAAACATTATTGAAGACCAAACCCAAAATAAACCAATTATGAATATAGCTTTTGTTGGTTTAGAAATCAGCTTTAAATATGTTTAAAATAAATATTTACTAAACCTGTGGAATAGCTAAATTGAGTTTTACGTAGAAAGCACGCTGTTTGATTGCAAGTAAAGCTAATGTTAATCTTCTGGTAAAGATAAAACATATTTTTTAAATATCTTTTAAAAAAATGACCAGTTATTTCTTGATTTGACCAGTTATTGGTTTATGATAGTTGTTTTCTGGCCAGTATATTTTATAAAGTACAATTGTTTTTGGTCTTTACAGAATTAACACATGCAAATACCATGGAGTCTCTAGTGGCGAAAGATTGGGGTCGCATTAATAAAACATGACATACATATGACAGCACACAAAGTGAACACGGTAATTCTGCATAGCCATTTGGAAACTTAAAAATAAAAAAAACGTGCTGTAAATACCTTGAAGTAACCACAGCATCTGCTTTTAGTAAGAATTGTTGATGTATGAAATATCATAAATACATATTAAATTATTTTGCAAAATAAGAACCTAGTCTATTGCTCACCTATACGAATGAGTTGCCAAATGTTTATAAATCACAGCAACATAAATAAAGTTAAACAATTCTTCTTTACGAAAAAAACATTCAAGCCACTCAATAAACCGATGGATGAAGGCTTCACTACATCTTGTCAGTTATGAGGGTTTGTTTTGACCATACTTCATCACATTGATCAATGTGGGTTGGTGAATGGGGATGGTTTTGATATCACTTGCCATGTCAGTCGCCACGGTTGGGAATCGAACTCGGGTCGCTGGTTTCGTAGCACGGCGCTCTAACCGGGGTACTATCCTTATGCCCACAGCCTCTCCATTCCACCTTTCTTTCCACATAAGTGTCAATCCAAACCCAAGGAGGTCCCACGTGAGTTCCATCTGGTGACTCTGGGTGCCATGGTGGTGAAATGTTAACTGCCTCGCCTGGTATACAGGAGGTTGTGGGTTCGATCCCGACCCTGACGCCTGCTGTATATTTGGAGTTTGCATGTACTCCCCGTAGTCACGGGGATTTTTCTCCGGGTCCTCCGGTTTTTCCCTCCACATTTTGAAACATGCGTTTCGAGTATTTGGCGGCTATACATTTCCACACGGTAAGCCACTTCTCGTTGGGATATCATTTGATGCCAGGTTGCTTCTCAAAAAGAGCTATATAACTCAATGGGCCTCATCTGGTAAAATAAAAAAAAAATTGCTTAGTTTATAAATATTCGGTTGGTTTGAAAATATTAAGAAAAGACTGAAACCTCTGTACCATCTACAAAACTTCAAAAAAAATACTCCGACTGATTCCTGTTCGCTTTTTCACGTCCTCTGGTCCAACACCATTTGAGACTAGGCTCTTGAAGAAAGCTGTGTCTGGTGTGGACCAATCAGTTTCAAAGACAATGCATCATATACTATCAGACCATGTATTTTTTTTGTTTGCATGTTCACCACAAGTATATGTGGTTAATGCAGACATGATTCCTTGCAAAATATTTCTGTTTGGTCTTTTAACATCTAAACACAACTGTTTTATTGCCAGAAAGAGTAAAACCTATTCTTATGTTTTGATATTGGCAAGGGAGGTCCCATGATGATTCCTATTGAGCTCGCTTCTAGGTGCTTTTTGCATCTCGCATGGCCATGAGCAATAAGCCAGTCTCAGGATGGGAAAAAGTCAGCTGTAACGCAAACCGAGTAGTTAACGGAAAAGAAATGTCCATCAATTAGAATTAGAATCGTTATTCCAGGGTGCATAAAATACATCGTTTCCATCTATGAAGTTGGTTACCCCCACACGCCCCCGTACATATTTACTACTCGGAGGTCTAAGGTTAACCAACCAATTTCATTGTCCCATTACCTCCCGACAGTCATTCTGGTTTCACTTAGACCACATTTGTCAACGTTCGGCCATTTCTTATGGCGAGTATAAGCTTCGAGGCACACGCACAGAAAGAATAGATACCTGATGCTAAACACTCAACGTATACACTTGGCATGTCATTATTGATTTAAAAGATGCTTAAGCACAGAGTCAAAACTTTGCGTGTAAATTGAATATCTACAATTAAATGCAAATTATATTCAAACGATGGGCTAATTGTGCCTTTTGGCTTCCTTGGGGGAACATAACCGCATATAAATGACAAAAAATAAAAATCACGTAAATTGAGACTTTAAAAAATTACGCAAGTAAGAATATCCCTGGTTATTGAATAATCATCCTAAAAGAGAATCATCACCATTCTAAAACTACTGAGGGCCCAATTGTTTAATGTCTAACAAAAACAACAATCTAGAGCCCTTTGGTAATCCACTGCTGGTTGAATGCTTCCCCATGCGATCTCAGTTATGGGGGTTGTTTGCACATACTTCGCTATGCTGGTCAGTGTGAATTGGTGAAGGAGGTGCCCAGCATAAGTTCAGATATATCATTCTCCACTGATGTCAGCCATGGCCAATAACCTAACCTAGGTTACCAGGTTCATAGTGTAGTGCATAAATCACTGTCTCACTCTTCCTCCCCCATGTCTCCTTTATACCTGCAAGTATATCAGCATCATCATCATCATCATCCGTCTCTTCTATCAGCTCGTCAGCAAAGATATGGCCGGATGAATTTCCACCATGGTATTCTTTCTTTATCCAGTATCACTGCTCGTCTCAATCTCATTCCTCATTCTTCTAGATCTCTTACCACTGCATCTACAGTTAGGGAAATAAAGTATTTGATCCCCTGCTGATTTTGTACGTTTGCCCACTGACAAAGAAATGATCAGTCTATAATTTTATTGGTAGGTTTATTTGAACAGTGAGAGACAGAATAACAACAAGAAAATCCAGAAAAACGCATGGCAAAAATGTTATAAATTGATTTGCATTTTAATGAGGGAAATAAGTATTTGACCCCCTCTCAATCAGAAAGATTTCGGGCTCCCAGATGTCTTTTATGCAGGTAACGAGCTGAGATTAGGAGCACACTCTTAAAGGGAGTGCTCCTAATCTCAGCTTGTTACCTGTATAAAAGAGACCTGTCCACAAAAGCAATCAATCAATCAGATTCCAAACTCTCCACCATGGCCAAGACCAAAGAGCTCTCCAAGGATGTCAGGGACAAGATTGTAGACCTACACAAGGCTGGAATGGGCTACAATACCATTGCCAAGCAGCTTGGTGAGAAGGTGATAATAGTTGGTGCGATTATTCGCAAATGGAAGAAACACAAAAGAACTGTCAATCTCCCTCGGCCTGGGGCTCCATGCAAGATCTCACCTCGTGGAGTTGCAATGATCATGAGAACGGTGAGGAATCAGCCCAGAACTACATGGGAGGATCTTGTCAATGATCTCAAGGCAGCTGGGACCATAGTCATCAATAAAACAATTGGTAACACACTACACCGTGAAGGACTGAAATCCTGCAGCGCCCGCAAGGTCCCCCTGCTCAAGAAAGCACATATACATGCCCGTCTGAAGTTTGCCAATGAACATCTGAATGATTCAGAGGACAACTGGGTGAAAGTGTTGTGGTCAGATGAGACCAAAATGAAGCTCTTTGGCATCAACTCAACTCGCCGTGTTTGGAGGAGAAGGAATGCTGCCAATGACCCCAAGAACACCATCCCCACCGTCAAACATGGAGGTGGAAACATTATGCTTTTGGGGTGTTTTTCTGCTAAGGCGACAGGAAAACTTCACCACATCAAAGGGACGATGGACGGGGCCATGTACCGTCAAATCTTGGGTGAGAACCTCCTTCCCTCAGCCAGGGCATTGAAAATGGGTCGTGGATGGGTATTCCAGCATGACAATGACCCAAAACACACGGCCAAGGCAACAAAGGAGTGGCTCAAGAAGAAGCACATTAAGGTCCTGGAGTGGCCTAGCCAGTCTCCAGACCTTAATCCCATGGAAAATCTGTTGAGGGAGCTGAAGGTTTGAGTTGCATAACGTCAGCCTCGAAACCTTAATGACTTGGAGAAGATCTGCAAAGAGGAATGGGACAAAATCCCTCCTGAGATGTGTGCAAACCTGGTGGCCAACTCCAAGAAACGTCTGACCTCTGTGATTGCCAACAAGGGTTTTGCCACCAAGTACTAAGTCATGTTTTGCAGAGGGGTCAAATACTTATTTCCCTCATTAAAATGCAAATACATTTTGACACGCGTTTTTCTGGATTTTTTTAGTTGTTATTCCGTCTCTTACTGTTCAAATAAACCTACCATTAAAATTATAGACTGATCATTTATTTGTCAGTGGCCAAACATACAAAATCAGCAGGGGGTCAAATACTTTTTTCCCTCACTGTATCTACCTGGTGTTCTGTCTCCCCCTACTCCTCTTTACTTCCACTCCTGTCTGCATCACCAACGACGAGATCCACTCCTGGTTCATTTTCGTAGCGTGTCCGAACACAAATGTCGTCTTCCCTCCTCGACTTTGTCCGCGAAGGTTGTTTTCACCTCCAACCGTTTCCTTATGTCATCATTTTTCAGTCTCTCTGCAGCCTCGATCCACTCTCGCGTACTTCACTCGTAGAGTGAGTAAATCCACCGATCCCTTGACCCTCGCGTGACAAGGGAGGAGAGGGGCAAAGGGGCGTACGCTGCTCTTGACGTCGCTGAGCTTGGGAAGGATCTCGAGGCCGAATCCGTCCGCCTGGCCCCGAGTGCGGTTTCCGCCGTTCATGTAGTTCCCCAGCGCCAGGATGAGACCCAGCACCTGCTGCACTCCCTCGCTGCTGCGCAGGCTCTGATGGGGGCGCCGCCGGCCGCACCAACAGCAGCAGCGAGGTCGAGCAGACGCAGAGGGAGGACGAGGCGCACACGCAAACGATGATCAATTAAGAGATCAGAGGGAGATGAAGAATGAGAGGGATACGCACGCCGTGGTGTTATGGTCCGAGGCAGTGAAAATGCCCAGCGTAAAAATTCGCGCCATCTGCTTCGCAGGAGACATGGGAAGGTGCCCCCCGGCTTATTAGTGGGCCATTGTGTGCCGGCGTCATGGCCCAAAACATACCAAATTAAATTACCTGCAAATCACTCAATTATTATTACACGCAGCAGCAGCAGCAGTAGCTTTAGTAATCATCGCCTCCCTCTCGCTACTGGCAGAGTAACGCCCCGCTGGCAGGCCGGTGCCGAGTCACCCTGTGCCACACGGGGACAGCTGCCACTGGGGGTGCCCTTTCAAACGTTTGAGATGAGAAGTGACGTTAAGTTGCTCATTGTGTGTAAAGCGCTCTGAGACGGCCCGGCATGAAGGGTGATGTATATAAAAAACTAATTATAATTATGATGATGATGATGAGTAAGTGGTGAGGTGGTGTCGCACCTTGCACACGCGCTGCAGGATGAGCATCTTGCGGCGAATCGTGGTGATGCCCTCGGTGAACGTGGCCTGGAAGATGACGCAGAACACGCGTTCCGCGAAGCACGGGATCCGTGACAGCTCGTAGAGGAACCTTGGCACACGAGCGCGCGCACACACACACACAAAGAGCCACCATTACCAATGAAAAGTAAGAGGGCCCGGCGCCAGACTCCAGTCCCCATGGTCAGGGCTGAAATTGTTATAGAATGTTTTCTGGACTGCTGATTAGACTGGAGTAGGCCCGAGAGGTATCGTGTATTTAATAGCCAGAGCCCGAGTGAGAGGTAAACTGGATGTGGTGTGCTGCGTTTGGAAATATTTTACAAGCCGCTGAGCCGAACAGAAACAGCTGAAATTAAGCCGCACGTAAAGTCCCTGTTACCATTTAAAACTCGCCAGGGCTTCCAAAAAACTGGTCCTCACGGCACACCGCGGTCTTCTCCGTGAAAATGCAAAGTTCATTACATGCTGAATGCGCCTGAAGCTCACTAAACATGTGCCACGTGGCATAAGATATTCAAATAGCACTCTACATCACGCGAGGCATGTGTGAACACATACACACAAAAGAGCGCCATTTAATGCGAATTGGTGTCACGTGACTTGGGGGCAATTTCTGAGCACACGCAGCATGCAATGACTTCATTTGAATTTGAAAGGCGATTGCAGGTAGGTGAGGAACCGTAGACTCTACTCACTGTAGGGGGCTGAGGGCTGGAGTTTGGTATACTGGCAGTATAACGGTTGCGCATGTTTTCTTTTCATATATTATTTTGTGAATTTACTTAACATTTTTTTTCTTTTCTTTTTTAAATAATTATTAGGCTACAGGTTTTTGATTATTACAACTTTTGAGGTCAACCATCATGCATTGCTTAACTAAGACGCGTCATTTTGTTCCTTGCATTAAAACGGGTGCGCTTGAAACACGTCCGCTTTTAATGTTAACGAAGTCAAATGCTCGTTGGCATTGCATCACCATTGTAGCATACAAACCAACCCATCGAGAGTAACAAGAAAAAGGCAATCACGGAGGGCTGCCAACATTTACCACTGCCATTCGACAATCACTGTCAGCGTGAGAGGCAATGTGATGAGGGAGTCTGTGTTTCGCTGTAATGAGGCACATTGCCTCTCATCATAGCGAAAGACAGACGAGCAGAGTGAGACCGCCACCTTGTGGTTATCGACGCGAAATGCAACGTCGTTAAGCACACCGCCATTTAAACAGCGGAAACACGTGAAAATTAAACGTGGATATAGTACCGAGATCCCCAGGAGTGGGGTAGGATTTTTTTTTGTGACCCCATCGGTTGCTTTCAAAAGCAACGCTGGCTCGGGGTTTAATTGTTGTTATCGATAACAGCGATGTACGTTCAGTGAGTTGGGCCACCGGGAACAATAATTGACATTTGTAAGGCGTACATTTAGTGCCTTGGAGGTCAGTAACATGTTCTTATAGTCCACTCACATTGAGTGAAGTTTGGGACACCGGTGGGTGAATTTAGCGAACAAAAAATTGAGTCAAGTGGCAAAGAGAGGTTGGGTGGGTGAGCAACGTGGAGGGTAGCCGAGATGCTGTCGCTGTTTGCATGGCAATGTCCATGAGACAGCAAACAAGCTCAATGGGAGTTTAACAATTCACCACTTCTCCTCCTCAATCAAATATTTTGTTGGCAGGAAGATTTCAGTTCAAGTTCAATGTATACATGTGTCAGCAATGTGGTCTTCAACCTATTCTATTATTTTCGGAAAAGTCTTGCTTATAAGAATATCTGAGAAAGATCTGCCCGGCTCACAGAATGACTGGAGCAATTCGACACATCATGCAAACGCCGTTATTTTCGTTGAAAATTTACAAACTCGACTCGTCATTCAACTTGAGTTCTGGGAGAAGCCAGGCCAACTCGGGCCCGCCAGAGTCGCGACTCAAGTTGGGCGTCCAATGGAAACAAAGCATTCGTGACAATTGCCGAGTACAATGATGAACGGCAGACGCGAACGTGAATGAAACACCGTGACGTAGGTCAACAACGTTGGGCTTACTGCTCGGGTTTGTCCAGTGGCTTGTGGTCGCTCTTGTCTTTGCTCGGCTTCACGTGCTTCTCTATTTTCTCAAGTTCTTCCTTCTGGGCTCTCTGCAAAAGCATTTCCGTATGAAAGCAACAAACAAGCACACGGCTAAGCAGCACCCTCTGGCGGACGGGAATGATGGACTTATTAAACCGCACGCTGTTCGGCATGGTGTTCCGATGATTTGCCCCGCATCGTGCAAGCTTCCTTTGGAGCCAAACAGCGTTGCTGGCATTCTACCGCGATGATCCAGAGCGTTGCAGACCGCTGCTGGTGTTACCGATTGGCTCGGCTCAACATCGGTGCCGGTCTATGCAAGCAACACCAGCGGCAAGCAGCAGCAGCAGCAGCAGCCAACGCTTAGTTTTTTGCGGGATAAATTCAGCAGCTCGATTGGGTGCCTGTAGGAACTCGTAGTGTATGCAGAGAAACGTCGGACATGACGCTGAACAACACATTGGAGAGCTACACAGCACAAGCGTGAAAACCTACGCAGCGATGCCGGAATGCTCTCCATGGAATGACTGCTGGTCTTTTTTGTCTTTTCCCCAAAAATGCTGTCCCATTTGTGATGTCAGTGTCATGAGGTAAGTGTCAATTGGATCTATCGCAAGGGCAGCGAAATCCTTCATGTTAGAGAACGGCCCACGGAAGTGGGTATCAACGAGAGCAACCTCTGAAACCTCCTTCAAGTGACCTCTGCTCCACACCACAGAGGACACCGCTCTGTCACTCTGCCACAGACAGCATCGTTCGCTGCATGACAATCAAACTGATATTTTCCATTCCCATAGTTGGAGATTAGCCAAATTCAGTGCGGAAGTAAACTTAATGAGACGTTTTTGTGCAGTCAGTGGTGACTGGACTGAGAGACCATCAACTCACGGCACTTTAGATGCCGGTTTAATGACAGCATTCACACTGAGGATCTCATTCGTGCCCCGACCTCTGGGCTAACCAACCACCTCAACAATACTGGCTCTAAACTAACGTGTAATTTCAAATACACGTATTCTTATAACATTATAATTGCAAATTAGTTGTATTATATCTCCATATATTTAAAAGGCAAAGATGTGATAATGTGTGTCTGTTCAAAATGTTTAGCGTACTTCCCGACATGCAACAAACTTGAAATTTGCCATGTGGGTACTTTACAGACACCATGGGGGGAGGGGGAGCTCAATAATGCATGTATTTTTTTCACGGCAAGTGAGCTGTGACGTCAAATCTGTCACGTGGAAGCGTAACGCATTGTAGTGTAGTGCTTAGTGCGCTCCGCTATGAACCCGGCGACCCGAGTTCGATTCCCGCTCACGGCCACCACCGGTGACGATTATTTGAACCGGTCCTTGGCCTCCCCTAGGTCGACTCAGCCTCAAACAATTAACTGGTGTGGTGTGTGAACATCGCCACTGGGGAGACGTAGGCGGCCGGGCGTGGTGAATCCAAGTCCCGGGCGAAGCCGGGTGTAGTAAAGCTAGTAGGGATATATGATGCAAATGTTTATTGAAAAAATGTATCATAATAATGTACATCTCTTTGTCGATACACTGTTGGATGATATCAACACCTTATAGTGTGTCAGTCACGAGGGTAGTGTGACCATACTTCATGATGCTCGTTAATGCAGGTTTGGTGAAGGGGAGATCAGAACTCGTTCAAATGATCACTTGCCACCGATTCTGGCTGTGGCCGGGAATTGAACTCAGAGCGTCGGATTGATTGCGAAGGGTGCCATTAACTTTTGTTTACGGACTATGTCAATGGGAATGAATACTAATGGAGACTTGGCAATGTACCTACATATGCGGAAAAATATATTTCTGTTCATTTTATCGTAATTGACTTTTTTTATCAGGCGAAAAACACAGAGCATCCGTTCCTAAACTTATTCCATTAAAAGTTCCCCCACCCCCCCCCCCCCCCCTCCAAGTAATCTGGCATGAAGCTTTGTGTGTGACACTCACATTTTCATAAAGCGCCTGCAGTGTCTCCAAATCGACCACGGAATTATCCAAGTATAAGACAGCTGTCAGAGACAACAAAACGCAAATGCTTCACATTAATTGCTCCAGAGTAAAGAGATAACGTTTATGTTTTCAGACATTAAAAGCACAGTGTTTACCAAGAGTTATTTGGAGGCGCACCGTAAAATCATTAACATGAAGACTATTTAATTATTCAGAAGTCGTTTCAAATTACTTGCATAACATGGGCTAATTTCAGATGCGAACTGTATGAGAAATTTACAAATAAATTGCATTTTTTTTTCTTTCTCACAGGATTATATGCGATCGCTAACAAAAGCTTTAGGGGGTTGCCCTGCCACACTCCACAAATGAGTTATGTTGGACGTTGGACGTAACTCTGACAAAGGGCAATTTGCCAGAATCACTGCTCACAAATGCTGACCCTACATGGACTATAACAGAGAGCGTTTGGTGACAATAGCAGACAACCAGGGCGCGTTCTCTGTCAGCCGAAGGCCATGGCACATGGGGTGCTCTGACATGACAAAGCACACTATTTACTATCAATTTGCGCATTATTTTCATCATATTTTATACGTATAAAACAATCGAGCATCTTACATACGTAGCAGCCGCGTACAGGATATAATTCAGGGAACAATACAGCACCCTATGAGACAGACGTACTAATAATTGTATTTATTTACTGAAGAATACCTCATTGAGTCTCAAGACTCTCTCTTAAGAGGGTTCTGCATTTGGTTGTTTGGTAAAATCTCTCGGTTGCTTTTCTTAAAAAATGTTTTATCCCAGTTGTGTCATCGGTGTAATATCTATGTTTCACGGCTATTCCTCGGGGTTCATGTGAATGCCTGAGGCTCAGTGTTCATGCCCGAGTCTCACAGAGAGAGTTTTGAGGGCAGCAACGCAATGTGGACCAGCTAGGACATGTACAAGCCCTTGGTCAATCCACTACTGTGCGAGGGCCTCCCTGCACCGTGCCAGCCTTAAAATGTTATCTGACCATACTGCATCCCACTGGTTAGTGTGGGTCAGTGAAGTTGGGGATCAAAGACTTTGAAGTACAGTATCATGTACAGTACAACGATAATTATTTTTTGCCCTTTCCCCTCCTGTCCACCAAATAGCCAAATAGCCCCAGAGCCGATAACAGCCTGTCTCGCATGGTCGTCAGCCATCTATGCCACATGAAAGTGCCATCCTGCTTAGCTTCCGAGATGTGTCGGGATCAGACGCATTCTAAACTATAAACTGAAACATTTTTTTTTATTTTACCAGGTAGGGCCCACGGAGCTTTATATCACTCTCCACTGGTGGCCAACACAAGTGGAGAGTGATATTTATAAGTTATCTGGCCTTCCAGTTACTAACCTGCACTAACCATGGAGGTAATGTATGGTCAAACACTAAACTAAAACTGAACTATGTTTTAACATACAAGGCAAGGCCCACTGAGCTATGTAGCACTTTTTCAGAAGCGACCTGGCCACCAATGAGAACGCAACTAAGTGGCGTATCAAGTACAAATTAATCGCAGCCAAATACTTCAAACGCACGTTTCTAAATTTGGGAGGGAAAAACCGGAGGACCTGGTGAAAAATCTACACGACCATGGGGAGAACATGCAAACTCCAAATATACAGGCATCAGGGTCGGAATCGAACCCACGACCTCCTGTATACCAGGCGAGGTAGTTAACGTCTCGCCACCGATGATGCGATATAAGACGCACCATCCAGTGTGCGTGTCAAATGAAGTGAGAGATGGCACACCTTGCTGAATGTCCTTCATCTCCAGGTGGAGGCTGGACATGAGGATACCGACGGCTTGCGACCGCTTGCTGTCCAGTACCTTCACGACCTGTGTCAGGAAAATATGAGCACTGCAACAAAGCAGCCGTGGACAGCACCTGCATGCGCCCAACAGCACCTGCATGCGCCCAACAGCACCTGCATGCGCCCAACAGCAATCCACCGATTTCCTAGAGAACACTGTTATGGAAACAAAAATATCCATCCACAGCATAAAATAGATTGATGCCTTTTGTCACAGAAAATATAAAAGATAGAGACCGCCTCTGCCATTGCTTGCTCATGGCCATTCTAATGAATGGGTCTACACTCGGGGGGACGCTAGAGAGCTCTTATTTCGGCGTGCTCGTCCACACTGACCAGACGCCTTGGAAGAGGCGGCAGTAACCGCACCTTACACCCAGGACACCCGACCCCACCGATCGTGGTGCACCCATTTATTCTGATAGGTGGGCAGAGGCAAAGGCAATTTAAGAAACGTGCCCATAGTTTCAACCATTGCGCTGGGAGATCGACCCAACGACCTTCGGATCGTATGTCCAGTTACACCATGCCAGCATCCTATACCAAACAAAAATATTATATGTTCACAAAGAAGAGCCAACACTGGCTCTTTCCAATAACATCTGGCAGCCCAGCATTATGGATTTAACAGGCCACACTCTTGATAATTGTTGTTGCAAAACAATCATCCGGAAGGCCCCCCGCAGTTGATGGAGTAAAACAAATACTTTAGTTGTAGGCACAGGGCATGTGACTGATAATGGCCACCTTAGAGAACAGCGAACTAATGAACATAAGCGTCTAAGTTATCACTCAAATTCAAGGTCAATTCAGCACCTCATTCCTATGGAACCAGTAAACAGAGTATCATCTGTCATGTACCAATGCGTAAAGTAAAAGAAGGCAAGGCCTTTAAAAGCCTTCATTTTTATTTGCGTTCACTGGTCTATATGATGTTTCCTGCAGCGTTAAATGACATGGCGAGGCATAAGGCCTGGGATCGTGCTGTAACAAAAACATTATTTGAGGTGACATTATAAAGTTAAACGTCCTGTGGTTCCAGGCGTAAGATTGAACCCTGTATATAATTTACGTGACTCTTTTGAACTATATCCCAGGCAGTGGGAAGTAAACTTTGGTTTTCCAATAGAGAAACGCATCGCTACTAATCGGAATATGGAATTTCAACAGCTGGCTGAATGCTACAAAAATATACAGTAATGACTATAAATATATTTGTTCATCCAGTAAGGCCTCAAGTGTTGTTTGGCTAAATCCTTTAAGGAGAGTTTCGTTTCACGTGCGAGGAGATCGGCGAATCCAGGGAAAAAACACGTCCATCAGTGGGTAACAATCAAAGCTCTGCATAGATATATTTAAAATACTTTGGGGGTACTAGCATCTACTGCCATCTCACAGCTAAAACCTACAACACAAAGTATTTCCAAGATAATCTCCCATCCAAATAAGACACCAGGCTAAAACCTGCAGAGATTACAATATATAGCAAGATCAAGTATATTCAGTGATCAGGCACATTCGGTGGTCAGGGTAAGTTGATCAATAAATGAGCGATTCCCTAGGCTAGAGAGAGTAGTATCGTGACACTTAAAGTTTTAATAGTCAACACAAGAGGCTTTGTGGAAGTGAGCGATGATGACAGTACTAATTAACACTGCAGAGACAGCACTTTCTTAATCTTCTTCATCGATCCGTTGGTGTACTCACCTGCTTGACTTTAGACTTCTTAATGAAAGTGTCCGCCAGTGGTTTCTTCTTCTCCTTGACGCTCTTCTTCGAGAAGAGCTCTTCAAACTCCTTGGGGTTGATCACCAGCTCCTCTAGGCTGTCCCAGAATGTATCGCTGCTATCGTCCCTTCGCGATTCACAAACCAAAACGCACAAGAGCCCAGCTGTCACGCGAGAGCTCATGTGGAATACGCTCAAAACGAAATACTAAAATATACAACAGGCTACACTATATTCTTGGTTCTTTCGGTAAAGTCACGTATAAGGGAAACAATAAAATAATAAAAATATAAAACAATAAAGTTCTCACGACGTTTCGACTGCAACACAAGCAATCATCATCAGGTGTGAAAACCACAGCAAGAAATTTTGAAAAAAGTGGCGGTTATTTATTTTTTAAAATTTTCTTGCTGTGGTTTTCACACCTGATGATGATTGCTTGTGTTGCAGTCGAAACGTCGTGATAATTTTATTGTTTTATATTTTTATTATTTTATTGTTTCCCTTATACGTTACTTTACCGAAAGAACCAAGAATATGAATCCCTGCAGTCACGAAAGCTTTAAATCAAAGGCTACACTATTTTGAAGGTAATACAAATATTGCCACAGCGGGGGGGGAACCTGGTTTGTTAAAAATAAAAAAAAAACAGCCTCACGAAAAGTGGTTCAGCCTCAATGCTCATTTTAGTAGGAGCTGCCTTGAGTCACTGTTGACCTCCAATGGTGGTGTAATCGCGTTTTCTTTTGAACCCATGTCAAAGGTCATAAGGCATAGATGGCTCATCATTTATACCAAAGGTACCGGGTTCCTTCTCGTTAGAATGGCTCCTTAATCGACGCTCCATGATGACATTTACTCAAGTGCTGTAACAGGTTCAGTTTCGTCAGAGTATTCAAGAATGTAAGCCCGTACATCTTAGAGAAGAAGTAGAAGGACCTTTTATAAATATATAATTTAAATATCTGCTGTATCTACAGCCTTCAGTCAATTGTACAATCATCAACATTAGGGGTGCAAACTTGATTTGAAGCTTTCGTGACTGCAGGAATCCATACTCTTTGGTTCTTTCGCCATCAGGTGCTTCCCCACCTGATGACAGATGCTTGTGTTGCACCCGAAACGTCGTGATTTATTTTATTTTATACCTACGTGACTTTATCGAAAGAACCAAAGAGTATTATGGGTGCAAATAATGTTCTGGGCATCTGAGTAATTCAACCACTCATTTTGACAAATAATACGAGTTAAAAAAAATTAACAGGAGTTAGAATACAACATAACTTGGAAGTCAAGACAAACACTGGACAGTCTTGCATGATAACTAATGATGTATGCATTAACTTAGAGCGTTACTCTGAACCACTGTGCAGAAAGTCTGTCTGACGGAGGATGGAAAAAAGAAGAAGTTCCTCATTGTTAATCTGTAAAAAAATATATATTTTAAAAATGATTTCTTTCCAACAGAAATTAAAACTTATTACATTGGTCCCGTGGTGCCCATTACTGAACGCCCCCTCATGGGCCCCGAGGATCTAGCTGCAGTTTTTTTTTTTCGGTACGGTCATGTGAACTCAAGCTGCGCATAAAAAATTGTGCATTACGCAAACGTCGCTGTCATAAATAATATTCTCAATGCCCATAGAATGCCCGGTACGCAGCTTTATCCGCAGCTCTGACCTCGCCTCTCCGCTGCCCGCCAGCAGAGCTGCACAGAGACAAACCTCGGAGGAAAATTGCTGCTTCGGTCTTCACGGTCATGCCGCTACGTAGCTCTCCGATGTGTTTTCGGATTGTTACCGCGCTTTGTTCGGCACAATGCCTGCTCACTTTCTCTCTCAAGTAAGTAGCGTTGCTTGCTGCTGCTGCTGCTGGTGGTGCTGATGTAGACTGGCCTACATTGATCTAAGCCAATCAGCAAATACCAGCAGCAGGCCTGCAACGTTACACAATTGAGCAAGAATCTTCCAGCAAGAGCAGCCAAACGTCCTCACCATGCCGGACAAATTGCAGACCAACCCGAAAACACATCTGAGAGCAATACAGCTCAGAGGATTACACACCCAACCACGTATTGCTTTACCGTGACGATTGTCCACCCATTAGTCGGTACCTCTTTACTTTGAGCTGAATGCGGGTCCAATAAAGTGGCTTCATGGGGCAGCTCGGCTCCACGGGCGGCTTCCTGCTCTGCTTGTCAACGATCGACGTCAGTGGGGCCAACGCGAGGCCTCCCCCGGGTAGCATCATCTGCGTGCTCAGACCGTGCCCTGGCGGCGCCGGTGGGGGCATTGGAGGAGCACCTGAGGCGCCCGGTAGAGGTGGAGGAGGGGGAGGACACATTGGGCCTCCTGGCAGAGGAGGCGGAGGAGGTGGACACATTGGGCCTCCAGGCAGAGGTGGTGGAGGAGGGATGAATGCTGATGCCCCTGGCAGAGGAGGTGGCGGGGGTGGCGGGGGTGGCGGGGGTGGCGGGGGTGGCGGGGGTGGCGGAGGAGGCGGAGGAGGAGGCGGAGGAGGCGGGCACACAAAACCTCCTGGAAGCGGAGGAGGAATAGGGATGTATCCTTCCGGAAGAGGTGGAAGTGGCGGTGGTGGAGGAGGTGGTGGAGGTGGTGGAGGTGGAGGCACAGAAGAGTCTGGACCTCCTGGGAGGGGAGGAGGTAGAGGTATCAAGCTGCTCAGCTCTGCAGAGCCACCGAGCTGCAGTTGTGATGAAGGCACTTCTTTGGAAAAAATACCGCTCGGCGGAGAATGCCTCGGTTTCTCCGGCGACGTCTGCACTCCCTTGGCCTGCTGGTTGCGCTCCTCCAGGGCGAGCAGGAGGTTTAGTTTCTCAGTCTGGACCGCAGCATGCTGCAGCATGGTGGTGTACACATCGCCTTGCGTGTCCACCCCCGCCTCCCTCGTGTCGGCCGGCGGGCGCCCGCTCAGCTCGCTCAGCCTCTGCTGGAGGTCCGCGATGATCCTCTCCAGGTCCGAGACACGGCGCGCATGCTCGCCGCTCGTCTGCGTCACCGCCCGCTCGTTCTCACCCTGAAAGGGTTCGGGCGTGCAGATCAAACCTCCACGATGAATCTGATACGCAAATTTTAAAAAGCTATGTTTTAAAATGTGCGCATTTTCTCATCGCCTTTCACGATGATTAGAACTAATGTTTAAAAGTGCATCTGTAGGGATATTCAAATTATTCAAGTAATTTCAAAGCTGAAAGTGAACACTCCTTTGTATTATCAATAACATGTGGCGGGCTCGGAATGTTGGGGCCTCTGGAATAATGCAATGGCTCGATCAAAATCTATGAAAACTAGAGGCATATGCTAGCAATTTACTTTAGCACAGCACACCATCAGAGGTGAATGACTTAGTTTGGTGACGATGGGTACCACGTATTTGTGAGTGTTTTGCGTGAAATGTAACAGATTTACAACTTGAGGGTGACTGCCTTATGAGTTGAACCACCCGGTGGCAGAATTTCTGGGGGCCCAAATTCAAATATTTCTAGACTCGACTCAAATGTGCACCAAAGTTCAGCACTCCAGCCGTTCCGGAAAATAATTATAAATGTTCACCAGTCACTTGGTCACAGTTATCTATATATGTATTATATATAATATTGATTTGAAGCTATAGTGACTGCAGGAATCCATACTCTTTGGTTCTTTCGGTAAAGTAACGTAGGTGACTTTACCTACGTGACTTTACCGAAAGAACCAAAGAGTATTATATTTTATTTCTGCTTATTAAAACTAAAACTTGGCGAACTGGGTCAGTCTGTCTGAGTGCACAACTCAAAGATTAATTTGCGCACGTACGGGAGGCCCCGTTGAACCGAAAATTGTCTCTGAAGAATGATATTACTCATGGAATCTAAACTAAAAAAAATAAACTTTTTTTTTACCAGGTAAGGCTCACTGAGCTATATAGCCCTTTTTCAGAAGAAAACTGGTCACAAATGACAGCTCAAGTATGTATGCATGTTTAACTTCTTTCGCACCGTAGTATGTAGGTGCTAATCGGACTGGCTTATGTGGAAACTTATAGCAGCCAAATACTTCAATGCATGATTCTAAATGTGGAGGGAAAAACCGAATGGCCCGGAGAAAAATCCAAGTGACCACGGGGAGAAACAGCAAAACTCCAAATATAAAGGCGTCAGGGTTGGGATAGAGCACACGACCTCCTGTTAACCACGCGAAGTAGTTAACATCGCATCCCCGTGAATCTGCTTCGCAAGATCCCCCGGTGTAGCAGTACCTGAAGCTTCTGTAGTTCTTCTTCATGCTGGTGCTGCACGCGGATGAGTGAAGCCTGGAGCTCTGTAGATGGGCAGATGGGCACAAGGCAGATGAACAAGGTCACCTTTGGGAAAGCACAGCACTGTCTCCGAAAGCTTTTTTTTTTCTCTTAAAATAATACATAACACCTCCTACCCATATTTGTCTCTGCACACTTTCAAAATAAATATTTTTTACACAACCCATTGGTTGCACGGCCTTCTGGGTATGCATCTTATCAGTTTGCTTGTATTATTCAATGCAAACAAACTCTGGGTGGGTTTTGAAATTCGGTGTTTCATAAGCGGGGTCAGGCTTGCTCGAACTGATGCTGGTGAGCTGGCCAATGTTAATAGACAAGGACTGTGATAAATAGGTCCTAGTTTCATACATCATTATATAATACATAACACAATTTATTCATTAAGTGCCACTGTTATAAATGTTAATCATGACACAAATAACACCTCCTTCAGATTCACCAGAACTCTGATGCATGCAAACTTTACTTCAATGGTGAATATTGAAAGTGTCCCAGACAGTATTATTATCATTGATATAATTTTTTATTTAAAAGAAAATGATTTCATTTTTCTCCTAAATTGTAAATTTTATCTTAATTTTCTAGATTGTGGATTCTTACTGTATGTGTGTAATTGTTTGTTGTTACAGCTATAAGTCAATAAATATCTAAATCTTTGCTCTCTGGTTGCCTAGATGAATAGTTGAGGTGCTATGTCCTTGCCTAGTTTTGGCTAGCTGGCTCCAAAACTCAATAAATATAACTACAGTATATGAATATCGGCATTTCTGCTATTTCTCAAAGTGAAGAGACTCGGAATCTAAAGCATGTGAAGACAAAGTACCATATATCATGGTCTAAAATTATGCGAAAATGACCTTTTAACTTAAGACAAAAGCAGCCCCTAAAAGGTGGCTTCATTTCTGTTTTTCCCATCCCAATCCACATCTATTCCACTTGGGTCATCACTGGTCACACCACAAGAAGAAAAAAAATCCATTCAGAAATTCACAATAAGCAGGGGACTACCTGGTGCAATACAATAGCACCAGAATATGACATCACAAAGCTGTTTCTGAAGCCCCTTTAATAGCCTCTTATACAGTGAGGGAAAAAAGTATTTGATCCCCTGCTGATTTTGTACGTTTGCCCACTGACAAAGAAATGATCAGTCTATAATTTTAATGGTAGGTTTATTTGAACAGTGAGAGACAGAATAACAACAAAATCCAGAAAAACGCATGTCAAAAATGTTATAAATTGATTTGCATTTTTATGAGGGAAATAAGTATTTGACCCCTCTGCAAAACATGACTTAGTACTTGGTGGCAAAACCCTTGTTGGCAATCACAGAGGTCAGACGTTTCTTGTAGTTGGCCACCAGGTTTGCACACATCTCAGGAGGGATTTTTTCCCACTCCTCTTTGCAGATCTTCTCAGTCATTAAGGTTTCGAGGCTGACGCAACTCAAACCTTCAGCTCCCTCCACAGATTTTCTATGGGATTAAGGTCTGGAGCTGGCTCGGCCACTCCAGGACCTTCATGTGCTTCTTCTTGAGCCACTCCTTTGTTGCCTTGGCCGTGTGTTTTGGGTCATTGTCATGCTGGAATACCCATCCATGAACCATTTTCAATGCCCTGGCTGAGGGAAGGAGATCTCCAAAATTCTAAACAAACACAAGATCCTGGTCCGGTTCAATACAGTACACAAAATCCGTGACCTGATCCCTTCCGTGAAGGATGTCATTCCTGACTTACAGTACCCCGGGGTTTACAAATTGATCTGCACCGGTGGTGACTGCTATATCGGGGAGACGAAACGACATGTCTCTGACCGAATTCGCGAGCACAAATCAGATTTGAAACACGGCAGAACGAATTCTTCTGCCGTAGCTGATCACTGTTACAACACTGTGGGTAATCACGATATAGTTTTCTCCGATACCAAGGTCCTCTGCAAACCCACGGGTTTTTATCAGAGATTTGTACACGAGGCAATTCAGATTTACAAACACAGACACAATTTCAACCGAGAAGATGGTTTCAAATTAAGCAACCATTGGAAAGATGTTCTAAATCGAACCAAACATTTAACTAATTTTCAATGGTCCAGTATATTTATTAAATTAGTGGCATCCCAAACTCTCACGGTGGTGTAATGTCATTTTATGCTAATTCCAAGCTTTGACAGTAGTACATTTTATGCTAATTCCTTTGTCAAGGCGTTTTCTGTTTACCTCCTCACAGCTTAAAGGAGGCGACCTGCGCTTGACTTTCTTCACTCCAACGCTGTCCTCTGGACAGTTTGGTCCCTTCACCTGATGAAGGCCACTTGTGTTGTGGCCGAAACGTCGTGATTTTTTGTTGTTTTCTTTTTTATTATTTTTTACCTACGTGACTTTACCGAATAGAACCAAAGACTATGGTCCCAGCTGCCTTGAGATCATTGACAAGATCCTCCCGTGTAGTTTTGGGCTGATTCCTCACCGTTCTCATGATCGTTGCAACTCCGAGGTGAGATCTTGCATAGAGCCCAAGGCCGAGGGAGACTGACAGTTCTTTTGTGTTTCTTCCATTTGCGAATAATCGCACCAACTGTTGTCAACTTCTCACCAAGCTGCTTGGCAATGGTCTTGTAGCCCATTTCAGCCTTGTGTATGTCTACAATATTGTCCCTGACATCCTTGAAGAGCTCTTTGGTCTTGGCCATGGTGGAGAGTTGGAATCTGATTGATTGATTGCTTCTGTGGACAGGTGCCTTTTATACAGGTAACAAGCTGAGATTAGGAGCACTCCTTTTAAGACTGTGCTCGTTACCTCTATAAAAGACACCTGGGAGCCAGAAATCTTTCCGATTGAGAGGGGGTCAAATACTTATTTCCCTCATTAAAATGCAAGTCAATTTATAACATCTTTGACATGCGTTTTTCTGGATTTTTTTGTTGTTATTCTGTCTCTCACTGTTCACATAAACCTACCATTAAAATTATAGACTGATCATTTCTTTGTCAGTGGGAAAACGTACAAAATCAGCAGGGGATCAAATACTTTTTTCCCTCACTGTAAAACACAAAGGGATGCCCTTTTATATCCCCTGCAAAGAACACTTACCAAAGAGAAACGTTTCAATTCTCAGACGTGGAATAAGGGAAGCTACTTCTGGGTTCTTTCGGTAAAGTCACGTAGAATGGGAATAAAATAATAAAAATAATAATAACAGAATAAAATTCGCACGACGTTTCGGCCACAACACAAGTAGCCTTCCTCAGGTGAAGAAACAGGACTGTCCGGAAGACAGCGCTTAAGTGAACAATGCCAAGCATGGACAGCGTCTTTTAAGCTGTGTGGGAGGAACAGAGCGCCTTGACAAAGGAGTTAACATATAAATTAGCATGTAACTGGGGGAATAGCATGATGTTGAAAAAAATCATTTCTGATTCAACAGCATTAATTGATCAAACCAAACAGTTCTCATTGAAACCTTCTGCGGCCAGGCCACCAAGATTATATGACCTTCCAAAGATACGTTAAGAAGATACACATCTACGTCCCATCGTCTCTACTATCAACTACCCCACCTACAAACTGGCTCGTTTTCTTCATCTTTGGTTCTTTCGGTAAAGTCACGTAGAATGAGAATAAAATAATAAATTGATAAAATAAAATAACACAATAATATTCTCACGACGTTTCGGCCACAACACAAGCGGCCTTCATCAGGTGAAGGGACGAGACTGTCTGGTAGGACAGCGCTGTCCTCCTGGTAGGACAGCGCTGTCCTCCAGACAGTCTCGTCCTCCTGGTAGGACAGCGCTGTCCTCCAGACAGTCTCGTCCCTTCACCTGATGAAGGCCGCTTGTGTTGTGGCCAAAACGTCATGAGAATATTATTGTGTTATTTTATTTTATCAATTTATTATTTTATTCTCATTCTACGTGACTTTACCGAAAGAACCAAAGATGATGAATCATTGCAGTCACGAAAGGTTTAAATCGAAATTTGGCTCGTTTTCTGTCTGAAATCCTGCGTCCTTTCACTGGAAAAACCACCTCTGCGGTTCAAAATTCTACTCACCTGGTTTCGACAATCACGGGTATTTCCCTGTCTCCAGACGACCTGCTTGTCAGTTTTGATGTGGTTTCCTTATTCACCAAAGTTCCTGTACCTGACACCATCGCAATCATTGAAGACTTGGTTCATCAAGGACTGCATACTGATGTACCCCCCCTGGTGAGACACTGCTTAACCAACACATACTTCACCTGGAATGGAACTTTCTACAAACAAACTGAGGGCACCCCAATGGGCTCCCCCCTATCGCCGGGTGTAGCCAACGTTTTCATGGAAAAATTTGAGACGGACGCCATCCAGACTGCCACTCTACGCCCGACCTTATGGAAGAGGTACGTGGATGACACTTTTGTCATCTGGCCACATGGCCGGCCTGCTCTCGACCAATTCCTCGAACACATCAATTCCATACACCCAGCCATAAGATTTACCATGGAAGTTAAAAAAGATAGCAAGCTACCCTTTTTGGATGTCCTAATTAAAAGGAAACCTGATGGTTCAACGAGCCACTCTTGCTACAGGAAAGCTACCCATACAGATGCTTACTTAAAACCAGATTCCCACCACCATCCATCCCAGAAGAATTCCCTCATGAAGACTCTATACCATAGAGCCCAGTGCATTTCCGACCAGGAACACATTGCTAGTGAACTCAAGCACGTACACCAAGCTCTCAAGGCTAATGGTTACTCCGACTACACAATCTGCAAAGCTATCACTCCAATCATGAAGAAGGATCCTCTTGAGGACCCATTCAAAACTATCACCTTACCCTACATTGCGGGGGTCACAAAAAAGATCTCCAAAATCTTGAATAAACACAAGATCCAGGTCCGATTCAACACAGTACATAAAATCCGTGATCTGGTTCCGTCTGTAAAAATGTGGTTCCAGACATACAGTACCCGGGCGTCTACAAACTAAGTTGCCTCTGTGGTAGCAGCTACATTGGAGAAACCAAACGACATATCTCGGACCGCATCCGTGAACACAAAGCAGACTTGAAACACGGTAGGACGAACACCTCAGCTGTGGCAGATCACTGTTATAATTCAGTGGGCCAACATGACATTGACTTCTCCAAGACGGAGGTTCTCTGCAAGCCATCCGGCTGCCATGAGAGATTCGTTCATGAGGCTATCCACATATACAAACACAGAGACAATTTCAACCGAGAAGATGGATTCTGGCTTAGTAACCATTGGAAAGACGTTATAAACCATTTCGGTTCTTGATTGATTGTATTTTATGGTGACATTCAGACCGCAGTCCATTCGCTGGCACTGCCTCTTAATACCTTTCACACGACGGTCAATGGTATGATTTATAGCATTTGTATAATAATAAATAGTATAACATTATGTTTAACATAATTCATAAGGCAATATATAGTATCGTAATTGTATAGTGAATATACAGCAGTGTGGTATACAGTAGGGTTAATAGAATAATACATAGTGTAATACTACAAGTCTAATATTTTATAGTCTAAAGCATAGGGTAGTGTATAGTAACGCACTGTATAATTCAAAGGTGGGATTTGTCTATGGATACGATATTATACCATGTAGTTTAGATTGGAAGGTATAATAATGTATAGTAGTCCAGTTTATAGCATAGTTATAACGCAACACAGGACAGAGCAGCGCACCGTGGCTGTTTCCTCCTCTTCCCCCCCCACTCCTCCGTTCCGAACATAGATGGACTCGTCTGTCTGAACACAAGCTTGTCCCTCATACTAACATGCTAATTTATGTTAACTCCTTTGTCAAGGCGCTCTGTTCCTCCCACACAGCTTAAAAGACGCTGTCCATGCTTGGCAGTGTTCACTCAAGCTCTGTCTTCCGGACAGTCCTGTTTCTTCACCTGAGGAAGGCTACTTGTGTTGTGGCCGAAACGTCGTGAGAATTTTATTCTGTTATTATTATTTTAATTATTTTATTCCCATTCTACGTGACTTTACCGAAAGAACCCAGAAGATAAATCCCTGCATTCACGAAAGCTTTAAATCGAAATTTAAGGGAAGCTACGTCAAGAAAAACAACAACAAATTTAACTGTCGCTAGTGTGTGCAGTCATTGGTAACTGGACTGACACCATCATCACGATTTTAATTACAAGTGGCCATCAGAAGTTGGCCCCAGCGGTACTAGCGCAGTGCTCTAATGCAGCATTAGCCTACTGAACTACTGAGGGAGACTTTCGTTTTGCCCAACTACCATCATTCCTTAAGCCAATTCATTACACCATGCCTCCGATAACATTGCCATCCCCACAGTGTTTCTGTCACTAATGTGAGCTAATCAACTGAGCCGTAGGTTTCATCAGCTGCCGTGCGTTAATTCACTCAGGAAACCCACGCGGCCACAAATTCCTGGCCCGTGAAATCGGTGCTCTGGCAGTGTTACTGCGCTGTGCTATAGACACACCGAACAGAGTTACATTCCTGGCCGTGGCCAACGCCAGTGGAGAGTGATATTTATAATTCCTCGGCCTTCCAGTCACAAACCTGCGCTAACCATGGAGGCAAAGTATGGTCAAACATTAAACTAAGGCCCACTGAGCTATGTAGCTCTTTTTCAGCAGCGACCTGGCCACAAATGATAGCTAAACAAAGTGATTCATCACGTGGAAATGTATAGCAGCCAAATACTCAAAATGCATGACGATTCTAAATGTGGAGGGAAAAACCGGAAGTCCTGAAAAAACAATCCACGCGCCCGAGGGGAGAGAGAGGAAGACGCAAACTCTAAATATACAGGTATCTAGATCGGGATCAGGATCGAATCCACGACCTTATTTATACCTGGCGAGATAGTTAATATCTCGCCACCATGGCACCACAACAACTTGTATGACTGACATGACATGGGGAGGTCACCATCCAGCAGGGGATGGACAAGGTTGTAAATCAATATTATTGTAAGTGGTTGCATGCAGTCTCTTCAATTGCATTCTATGGTTCACTCGTACTATATAATTGGACAGAAATTGAATAAATCGCCTTTCACATAAAAAATAAGATAGCCATTGTCGCTCGGTTTATTGGAATTGCCGTTACGGCAGGCCAAAGGACATTAAGGCCAATTGGTCTTCCGATTATAGAAAATGTTCTTACAGTTGGTACATTATTATGCATTTCAAGCACTGCTACTGCCCATCACCGATTCATAGAAACGTAATGGTGAATATCCGCAATTGTACAAAAGCTTTTAAGAAACTTCCAGTTATGGAAGGCCAATAAGCTGAGAGATTGAAGACATTTTCAATTTTATTCTGAGAGTTGACATGGAACAAAGTGATTTATTGAACTTACTACCCAGCTGTATCCACTGCAGCACTTTGTGAGGTTGTATGCGGTCTGTCACGGGATGAATTATTTTAATGCCACGCCTCTCATGAATTCTCCGGATTGTACCACGTGTTGTTTGTTTAGTATGATGTCTGTCGTTTCATCCCACGTGCCGAGAGAGCTTCTTCTGGAACTGAGGAAGCCGAAGTTGAAAAATCTGCTTCAGTTCCTGAAGAAGTCCCTCAGCACTTGCAGCGAAACGTTGGACACCGTGCCGAACAATACGCGGCGCAACCCGAAAAACATCATCGGAGGGCTGTACGGCACAACCACACAAACCCACAAAATCGTATGCCTTGCGCGCTCTCACAGAATGGATCACGGATGCGCATTTTGTCAGAATGTCACCAAGTTTAATTTCAAAGTGCACCGATGGTTGATGCATTAGGACATTGCTTTTCGTATCACAGTTAAAAGTTACGATAAAATAATGTCACCTACGTTTAATGTCATCCACACCTGAAAACAACAAATAATTCAATTAGTCTCAAGGTTTAATTATTTTTCTTCATTATTTGTTTCTGTCAAACAGTGACTCTTAAAAGTATGGCAACATAATAAAACGATATTCTAGGGCGGCATAGGTGACTAAATAGTCATACTGAAATGTTAAACATTTCACGGTTGGAAAATTATAATTATGCACAGTCAATCCAGTAATTATTGAATTCTTAGAGCTGGAATGTAGCCAAACTAATTGCAGGGGGCTGCTAGTATTTGAACTCAGGGTCTCGGCAGTGACAGCTCATCACTCTGACCTCGAAGCGACCTAGCCACCTCCGAGCGAGCTGAATTCAAGCGTATTACCTGACAAGGAGCTGTCCAGCGTTGGGTGGGCCTCTGCGTCTTGAGGCAGTGCCGGCGGAGGCCACACGGCCTGTAGTCTCTTCCACGACGTTCTCTGCTGCCCCAGGGCTACCCACGTGTACTCCTGCTCCATCTGTGGATGCACACAAATACAAAGACAAAGATTCCCCCGTGTAACCTTAAACAGACGTATGGGGGCAAGTGCCGTTAGCGAGCAGCGCCTATGAAGACCAGCATGGCACACGAGGGGGGGGTATGGATGGCCAGCACTATGCCTGACCGGCTTTGTCTCCCCAGTAGCGATGTTTGCACACCGCACCAGGTACTCATTTGAGGCGGATTCGACCTAGGGGAGTCTATGGACCGATGCAGATAATAGTCACTGGTGTTGGCTATGAGCAGGAATTGAACACGGAATCCCAGGTTTGTAGTGCTATGCGCTAAACGCTACCCTACGTACGCACACATATTCACTCATGCCTCATGCAACACCAGTCACGCTCTGCTTATTTATTTGTGGTAACCATAAGAGCACTTAAATGCACTTCTCATCCTCTTTAGCTACAAGACTATGAGCCAAATTACTTTCTTGACCGGTGGATGGGGACTGCGTATGTTTAATTGTTTAGCGTGATACTTAAAGTATTTTTTTACTTTTATCCTAGAGATAAAATTATCAGCATCCATGGTGTGATTTTCGCGGGGGTCCAAAACGAAAATTTATGTTTTTTTAATTGTTATCGTTATAAGCAAAGACTCAACTATATGCATGCCTATCTTTTAGATCCAACCTTGACAACAATTACGATTTACAGCATGTACTCTGTGAGTCAAGGTTGTATTTTGTACATGTGTTAGATGTCCACCACCAAGCAGACATTTTCTTTATGCAATGAGGTATTTTGCTGTAGGTGGATAACAAACACCCAACAAAATTACCAAATAGTTTAAATGCTAAGCACTTGACTTATCTACAATATATTCGATCTCTTAGCTTAGATTATACAAAAAAAAACACACAAGCTCAGTGGCTGCTTGTACTGAAGCAAAAAAAAAGTGATAATGTGATGCAGGTCACTACTGCCAAGTAATACCCTACAACAAAGTTTCGATTTAAAGCTTTCGTGACTGCAATGATTCATCTTCTTTGGTTCTTTCGGTAAAGTCACGTAGAATGAGAATAAAATAATAAATTTATAAAATAAAATAACACAATAATATTCTCACGACGTTTCGGCCACAACACAAGCGGCCTTCATCAGGTGAACAACAACACAAGCGGCCTTCATCAGGTGAAGGCCGCTTGTGTTGTGGCCGAAACGTCGTGAGAATATTATTGTGTTATTTTATCAATTTATTATTTTATTCTCATTCTACGTGACTTTACCGAAAGAACCAAAGAAGATCAAACAAAGTTGAGAACAGGGACAATTTGTACTGAGATGTAATTATTCACCAGCATTCGCCTCCACTTGCTGGATCGGTGACTTGCAGCGCAGCCAAGGCTGGATTGAAAAACTCAAAGGTGATGTCTTTTTGTGTGGAGCGTGAAGGTCAGCGTCAAGGTCAGCACGGCGCGGGTCTCACAGAAGTCTGCTTCGCCGCTGCTCTCCAAGTTGAAGGCTCAGACAGCTAGGGGGCCGTCCATAAATGACGTCACGCGATTTTGGACGATTTTTTACCCCCCTTCGTCACACGGCGTCACAAAAAGTCAGACCCCCCCCCTCAAATATGACGTCACAAAGCTCTGCCCCCCCCCCAAAAAAAAATAAACAAGCTTCAAATCGCTTTAAACAATTGTCACTGTAGTGCGTATTTAATGTGGCGCTGCACTCTGATGTCTATTTAATTAAGTAGAACGTGTTGTCTATATTTATTTAAAGTTGTGCATTTTGATGTGACGTCACATTTCTCAAACCCCCCCTCTCGTCACACATCGTCACAAATGTCTGACCCCCCCCCCCCCCCCAGGTGCGTGACGTCATTTACGGACGGCCCCGAGGCGGCGTGGTGGGCATTCCGTCCAAACAATCCCGCGAGCTCAAAACTATTTGAGATGAAGTAACTAACCACGGGTAATTATTCACCGAACACACGGCAGAGCCAGCCGCTCTGCAGGTTTTTCCCAGGGCTTTGCCCAACCCAACACAGGCAACGCTGCACTTGAACGTGCGCCTATTTTGGAAATCGCACTCGCTTCAATTAAGCCGTGGCTGGCGTGCAAGTGGCAGGTTTTGTGGCGTTGAATAATTGAATGGAGCCTGCACAAAAAAGAAATTGGGCCTACCCTCAGAGCTCGCGACCGGCTGCCAGCAGGTAATCATACCACTACACGTGTGCAGCGTGCATGAATAATTGACCTACTGTGGTCTGCATCATTTGGTACTCATTGCTTACTGGCATGTTTGACAGAATTCTTACGATGACCTTCATAAAATACCACTGTCCCTGATGTTTAATGAATTGTAACTGCGTGCGTATCGGAGATTAAAGGGGGTTTTTGATGCCTTGCGCATTTCATCTCCCGCGTTTAAAGGTTGAATACTGCCAGGTAAATTCTCCACTTTCAAGATGTCAAGCGTAAATAAATTAAACCTTGGACGTCCATGCCATGTTATTTCATATTTCCCAAATGACAAAACTGCACAGCGACTGCTATTGCGAAAAACGTTTCTTTCCATCGCACACCGGCGACAGTGACAGTTCCAAAACCAAACAAAGACATTTATACCATCCAGTTCCGGCCCAAAACATCTAAGCAAATCCTCGAGTGCTCAACCATAAAGAGATGAAATAGAAAATCACATAAAACATGACAAGCACTTACATGTGCAACATGACACAGTGAGGGGTATATCAAAGCAAAAAACAGAACGTCTTTGGTTGTGGCTTTATCAAGTCCTCTATTCAACCTCCTTGTAACCTTATGCAGTTTTACTTCAGAAGCTGACGTATTAACCACATTGTTAATTATGCATTTCCCGTCTCGCCCACTTGTGAGTGAAGTTCAGGGAGAAGTGGATTAGAAAGCAACCCATCGAATTGGCTCCTCCATATTCCTTTGTGTAACTTTCCACCACTCTGCATCGCGTCGTTTCTATGCTCTCTGAAGCAGCCCCCCCTCCCCCCTTGCTTGTAATGCATTAGAATGATTTCATCTTCGGCAAATGGTCTCGTCATGGATCATGAACGGTTGCCTAGCTTTGGTTATAGAATGTTGATCGCAATTTAAAAAAAAACTGTTTTTAAATAACATATTACTACACGAGCATTGGCTGGGAGGCCTGATAGGTACACACTGTATATGCATTAGCAAAACAATAATTTACTTTAAGTGAAAGATTGCTCCGTTCTGTAAAGAAGTTTAAGAATGTCTTACATATTAAGTGAGCGGGGTGGAGTGGTGGTGTCGCAGTGGAACCTACACTGCTGTATGAACTCAGTGACCAGAGTTTGATTTCAGACAGCGGTTAACATCAGGGGCGAACGATATTTGAACCAGTCCTGGGCCCCTGCCTTCACCCAACTGCACTAAATCATCGTGCTGAACTATGGCCAAACAATCTCTAGAACTCGTACAACCACTTCATAAAGCACTCGATTACCAAAGGGCTATAAATAATAATGATCGTTATAACGTTTGCACATGTGAGACTAATATAAAGTGGAATAATGGATCCCTCCTTATCTGATTTACCGGGTGTCACAGTGGTTAGAGGTCATGACCCACGATGGCAGGGTTGAAAATTCAAACTCCAAATGAGGGTCTGCTCAACGCATCACTCCCCAAGTCAGTGACACGAGAATCACTTTTGTGGAGAGACAATGGTGGCCCGTTGCATGGAAAAACTGTCCCCTGTCATGGAAATGTGGAATTTCCACCACTGGCTCAGGAAAAGAGCACATCAAACCATTGGTGGTCTGTGCAGATGTACAGTACTTCTATACTTTACTCATTAACTTGTTATATATGTATGCTACTTTTTACTTTTACTCCACTCATTTACTTGTTATAGGCAAGCCAGCTGATGTACCGAGTTTACAATTAACTTTTAATCCAATCAAAGTATGTTTATTTCAATAAAAGTAACTTGAAAGATCGCTACAGTGGATACAAATGTATGTTTCTCCCCAAAAAAGTATTCTACTTGTGAATTGGATAGATATTTATATTCTCCTCCCTTCAGTTTATTTTTCTACAGATGAATTTAGCAAGTGAGATTTAAGTTGAAATAAGCTACACGTGCCAGATTCTATACAATCACAGACGGTAATGGTCAGGGTGCTACTTGAAAAACAATGCATCAATCAGAGCACAAGATACCAAAGGTGACTGTGAAAGAGAAACAATTCAATATTACACAAACAAATTACTTGTCACGATGAGCTGGCGCACAAACAAATCTAATTTTTATTTTTTTATTTAATAACACTGTGGCCTTAAAAAAAAAGAAAACACAGTAGGTGAATATTCTTAGTTTTTTCGGCAAAGTCACGTTGAAGAGAAACAACAAAATAACAAAATATATATAAAACAATAAAAAATTCTCACGACGTTTCGACCATAACTCAAACGGTCATCATCAGGTGTGTCGGTTTGCATAAATTTATTTTGAAAACGGCATATTTATTTATTTATATAAAAATAACGTTTGCGTCACGCGCAACGGTTGGCTGTTTGCCAGGACTAGTCCATCTATTTTTTGAAAAGAGGAGGGGGGAGACGAAATTTGTTTTTATGTATGCTGTCTGAAAGGCACTGTAAGCGTGAACAATCAATCAAGAACTGAAATGATTTATCAAATCTTTCCAATGATTGCTAAGATAGAATCCATCTTCTCGGTTGAAATTGTCTCTGTGTTTGTATATGTGGATAGCCTCATGAACGAATCTCTCATGGAAGCCAGATGGCTTACAAAGAACCTCCGTCTTGGAAAAGTCAATGGCATGTGAGCCTACTGAATTAGAACAATGATCTGCTACGGCCGAGGTGTTGGTCCTACCGTGTTTAAGGTCTGCTTTATGTTCACGAATGCGGTCCGAGATATGGCGTTTGGTTTCTCCAATGTAACTACTACCACAGAGGCAACTTAGTTTGTAGACACCAGGGTATTGTATGTCCGGAATCACATCTTTTACAGACGGAACCAGATCACGGATTTTATGTAATGTGTTGAAACGGACCTGGATCTTGTGTTTATTCAAGATTTTGGAGATCTTTTTTTTGTGATCCCAGCAATGTAGGGTAAAGTGATGGTTTTGAAAGGCTCCTCAAGAGGGTTCTTCTTCATGGTTTGAGTGATAGCTTTGCGGATTGTATAGTCGGAGTAACCATTAGCCCTAAGAGCCTGGTGTACGTGCTTGAGTTCACTGCTTATGTGTTCCTGGTCGGATATGCATTGGGCTCTATGATACAGAGTCTTGATGAGAGAATTCTTCTGTGATGGATGGTGGTGGGAATCCGGTTTCAGATAAGCATCCGTATGGGTAGCTTTCCTGTAGACAGAGTGGCTCATTGAACCATCAGGTCTCTTTTTAATTAGGACATCCAAAAAAGGTATCTTGCCATCTATTTCGACTTCCATGGTAAATCTGATGGCTGGGTGTATGGAATTGATGTGGTCGAAGAATTGGTCTAGAGCAGGCCGGCCATGTGGCCAGATGACAAAAGTGTCATCCACGTACCTCTTCCACAAGGTTGGGCGTAGAGTGGCAGTCTGGATGGCGTCAGTCTCAAATTTCTCCATGAAAATGTTAGCTATAACTGGAGAAAGGGGGGAGCCCATTGGGGTGCCCTCAGTTTGTTTGTAGAAAGTTCCATTCCAAGTGAAGTATGTATTGGTTAAACAGTGTCTCACCAGGGGGGGTACCTCAGCGTTTAGTCCTTGATGAACCAAGTCTTCAATGATTGCAATGGTGTCAGGTACAGGAACCTTGGTGAACAAGGAAACTACATCAAAACTGACAAGCAGGTCGTCTGGGGACAGGGAAATACCCTTGATTGTTGATACCAGGTGAGTAGAATTTTGTACCGCAGAGGTGGTCTTTCCAGTGAAAGGACGCAGGATTTCAGACAAAAAACGAGCTAGTTTGTAGGTGGGGGAGCTGATAGTAGAGACTATGGGACGAAGAGGTGTATCAACTTTATGTATTTTTGGTAAGCCGTATAATCTTGGTGGCCTGGCAGCAGAAGGTTTCAACGAAAACCGTTTAGATTGATCAATTAATGCGGTTGAATCAGAAATTATTTTGTTGGTTTGTGTGACGAGGCTGTTGGTGGGATCTCTTTTTATTTTTGTATAACTACCATCGTCGAGTAATTCTTTAATTTTGTTGTTGTATTCTATTTTATCCATAATAACAGTAGCATTGCCTTTGTCAGCTGAGAGAACTACAATATCATTCCTCTTTTTTAATTTATATAATTCAAAACGCTCATCTTTGCTGAGGTTGCTAGCTGGCATCTTAGCGTTTTTGAGGGTTGCAGCGATTTCAGATCTTGCTACGTCTGCAGCGATGTGACCCAGGCCCCTGAGAGCAACGTCTACTTGGGCAATTATATCATTAACTGGTATGTGTTTAGGTGTGACTGCAAAGTTTAGACCTTTAGCTAAAACGGATTTCAGACCATCGGAAATAGAACTGTTACTGCGATTAATTACGACTTTATTAACGTCTAACTTTTTGGTGTGTGGGTCCGGTCTTTTGTTGAAAAGGAGGTTAAATTTGGAAATCAGGTTTTCCTTACATTTGGTCGACATAGTAGCAGCTGAAGAGGCAGTCATATTGTCTACATGTTCCCAATCCGATGTGGACATTATTGCCGTCAATGATAAGTGTGATTTGTAGAGTGTCTTGTCTAACTGATCTAGTTCTGTGCGTATAAGTCTGATTTTTTCTGAGATAAGAGCTAAGCTAGTTTTGAAAAGAATTCGTTTCGCATTAGAAGAAGTTACAGTAGCAGAGGTGAGTGTAAATGCGATTGGTATTACCCCAGAGTCGCGGCATCTCTTCAGGAAGGTGAGAGACTCGATCAGCTGAGCTTTCTTATCCCGGAGTTTGTTGAAGGATCTTAAAGTTATGTGAAAACCCTCCCCGTAGAGGCGATTAAATTTTGATTTAAAGCTTTCGTGACTGCAGTAATCCATATTCTTAGTTTTTTCGGCAAAGTCACGTTGAAGAGAAACAACAAAATAACAAAATATATATAAAACAATAAAAAATTCTCACGACGTTTCGACCATAACTCAAACGGTCATCATCAGGTGTGTCGGTTTGCATAAATTTATTTTGAAAACGGCATATTTATTTATATATATAAAAATAACGTTTGCGTCACGCGCAACGATTGGCTGTTTGCCAGGACTAGTCCATCTATTTTTTGAAAAGAGGAGGGGGGAGACGAAATTTGTTTTTATGTATGCTGTCTGAAAGGCACTGTAAGCGTGAACAATCAATCAAGAACTGAAATGATTTATCAAATCTTTCCAATGATTGCTAAGATAGAATCCATCTTCTCGGTTGAAATTGTCTCTGTGTTTGTATATGTGGATAGCCTCATGAACGAATCTCTCATGGAAGCCAGATGGCTTACAAAGAACCTCCGTCTTGGAAAAGTCAATGGCATGTGAGCCTACTGAATTAGAACAATGATCTGCTACGGCCGAGGTGTTGGTCCTACCGTGTTTAAGGTCTGCTTTATGTTCACGAATGCGGTCCGAGATATGGGGTTTGGTTTCTCCAATGTAACTACTACCACAGAGGCAACTTAGTTTGTAGACACCAGGGTATTGTATGTCCGGAATCACAGTAGGTGAAGTTTTGGGAAATATTGCTCTGCGACAAAGCGAATACATTTTCCCTTCTTCAAAAGACATAGATGCATGTGCTATGAAGAAGAGCCATTGCACGAAACATCACCTCTTATATTTTTTTACCCCTTTTAAGCCACAGTGTTACTGATGAAAATCAGAAGTGATACTACTACAACACAGGTTTTGGCGGTGATGCTCTTAAACCCCCCCTGATACCCTGCTGTCGGCTTATACTGTGACATCATGGGAATAACACGCGATAAAACCCCAAAAAACCTGTTAGATAAATTGCATTTTGGGAAACATGACTGAAATAAGCCATGCTATCACCCCCCCCCCCCCCCCGCCTTAACATTGTTTCTCCCACTCCAGCGGAGCCATCCAGTTCATCTCACCCTGAATGTTGGCTTGTCGGCATGAGAGTCATCAGCCACAGCCAGGTGGTCCAAAGAGTCCCCGACAGCTCGAAGCAGCCCCACTTCCAGCAAGTGGCAGCAGAGGCCCACCGCGTCGCCGGGCATGGCCTCACTTTGGATGCCTGGCCCGCCTGGTCCGCCTGGACCAGCTGGGCCACCCAGCTCCGTGGAGCCCGTCACAGCGAAGGTGAGAGCCCCCTCTCCGAACGGGGCATGGGACAGCCAGTCCAGCAACGTTTTACCTGTATGCACACGCAAAAAACAAAGATCCCCCGCATATCCTTACAACAGACTGTTTGGGGGCAAATGCTGTTGGCGAGTAGTGCCTATGAAGGCCGGCAAGGCCGACGTTGTGTCTCCCCAGTGTTGGTGTTTACTCACCATACCAGGTATTCATTTGAGGCCGAGTCGACCCAGTGGAAATCCAGGAGCAGTTCAAATATACAGCACTGTTATTGGTCGTGAGTGGAAATGAAGCTCAAGTGAACAAGTTTGTAGTGCAGTATGCTAATCACTGCACTGCTATGCTCAAAACAGCAGAAACCACAGCCACCATTCTCACACAGTGGTGGTGACATCATCACGGCGCCAGTGCCAGGCCAGATGCACTTTGAGGCCGCGTGAAGCATCGAAGGCAGGCGGTTACGGGACACACCCAGGTACCATGGGTTGACTGAGATGACTGGCAGATGCACCGGCTCTACCCCCCTATGGTGCACGCAAAGACAAAGCTCCTGCAGTAACGCCTTAACGGAGTGTTGGGGCAATTGCTATTAGCGAGCACCTATTAAGCCGACGTGGCACGCGAGGTAGCCAGAACCACGCCCGGCCGCCTGTCTCCCAAGTGGCGATGTTTACACACCGCACCAGGTACTCATTTGAGGCTTAGTCGACCTAGGGGATGCCCAGGGCTGGTTTAGATAATCGTCACAGGTGTTGGCCGTGAGCAGGAATTGAACCCGGGTCGCCAGGTTCGTAGCGCGGCGTAGTGCTAACCGTTACACTGCGGTGCACACAGGCACACGCACGCACACACGTGCGTGCACACGCACACACACACACATGTGCACGCACACGCACACACGCGCACGCGCACACGCGCACGCACGCGCACACACACACACACACGTGCACACGCGCACGCGCACACACGTGCGCGCGCCCACACGTGCGCGCGCCCACACACATAAAGAACCCATGGCTTGAACAGTCGACTGGACAAAGCACAGCACGGGGCCCTGGTGTGTACACGTGCAAGCGACGTTCATGGCAAAGTAATGTGTGTACCCCCTGCTATCGACATGCGCGTGTCATACATGTTTGTGTGTGCGTGCGTTCAAGCAGAGTGTACGCCACTTCCGGTAACTCCTAGTTTGAATGTGCACATACAAATGATTTGACACAGACAAGTGTGTATAATAGAAAGACTGCTACCACCTCCGTGGAATTCACCACATCCGTAGATAAAGTCAAATCATAGGATGAATCCAAGTTGCGGATTAAATAATTTTTTGCAGATCGATTCAGGAGCATGGGTAATGAAAAAGTGTAATCTTCTATTGTTATGACTTAAAGCAGACATACATAATTCAAGGCCTAATGTGTAGTTCGTGCCATAGTTAACATAAATACATGACGTATTCTCTCCAAACGTGTTTCCAGGTTGGAAAAGTTCTGAAGAATCTCCCAGCACGTGGAGGAAAACGTCGAACACCACGGGGGTACACCCCCAAAACGTCGAACAACACGGGGGTACACCCCCAAAACGTCGAACACGGGGGTACACCCCGAAAACGTCGAACACCACGGGGGTACACCCCCAAAACGTCGAACAACACAGGGGTACACCCCCAAAACGTCGAACAACACGGGGGTACACCCCGAAAACGTCGAACAACACGGGGGTACACCCCGAAAACGCATCACGAAAACCTCCATAATGTGCAGGATTCTAGATTTGAAGCTTTCGTGAGTGCAAGGATCCATACTCTTTGGTTCTATTCGGTAAAGTCACGTAGGTGACTTTTTTGTTGTTTTACTTTTTACCTACGTGACTTTATCGAATCGAACCAAAGAGTAATATACAGGATACTTTATGAGCCGTTATACATGGCTACTTTGTTTTGAATATCCTTTCATCAAAGTACACCTGATATTAGACGTGTTTTAGATTTGTTTTAAACCTTAAATGCTTGCATAGCCACATAATTGCATCTCTCTGACATCTGGAAACACGGGGGTGAACTTGATACATTTCTCTATTCAGGAATGATATTATGGATTGTTTCTAAATAGCATGCAACATGAAACATCTTGGGCACCACTCAGGCCTTACAAATTATTTACGAATGCATCCTCTGGTGTATCCGAATGCGTGTTCTATTTATGTGATTACATATATACATAGCATGTATGGTGGAGTTGTAAGCACAGTAGTTATTTAGTGGACTGCTATATGTACCCAGTGAGATGACTTCGTTTCCCAGTTACGGCTAACATCCGTAGCGAGTGATGCGTGAACAGGTTCTGGATATCTCCTTCACCAACTTGCAATGACCAACGTGGAAAAAGTACTGCATGTGGGCCTTCATCTAGCAGTGGATTAAGGCGCGTAAATTCGTAATATTATAACGGTAAAAAAAAGGTTCAGTTGCTGACAAAGGGTGGCAAATTATTTCTGTTATTTATGACAGTATTATGAATAATGTGAACGTTGGTATATCCTATATATTGAAGTGAGTCGGCTGGGTCAGCTAGCCAGAATGTTTAAATTTGTCGACGATCTATGAGAGAACAGATCAATGCACAAAGTGCGGAGTGCATCAATAACCACATAGAAAAATAAATACATCTGAAAGACAGCTCTCAGTTATGAGGAGGGACGTTTTTTTACGGAGCAGCCAAACCTTTGAAACATCGACATTCCTCCTCAAGTTCTGCGGCACGGCATGTAACGATGACGAGATACCGAACAACGCTCGACTCAATAGACAACTTTGTCCATTGACGCGCATCATGCCTTCTCCCTCTGAAAGCCGTGAAAACCAATTATCGCTCCGCATGACGTTACTGCCACAGAATCGCACAACCTTGACTCCAATCCCACGCTCTCTCTCTCTCTTGGGCGTCAGCTGAGCGAGGCTCTCTGTGTCTATTCGCGTGACTCACCCGGGTGCTGTCCTCCTCCCCCACCCCCCGTGGCTCGTGTGGACAAAAAACACCACGCGCTTTTGCCCGCGCATTTTTCTGAAATTGCGTTCGCCGAGCGCCAACGCAAAGGCCCCAAGATGCAAAGCTCCCAGCAACAAACAGCGATATTGAAGGGTACAGTAGACAGAGAGCAAGTATAGTTCACAGTTGTAAGACATGTGGAGAAAATATGATGGGAGGAAGGGACCATTAACTCAAGATACTTATAAACGTGATTTAATAATGGGAAGCTTAAACTCAGATTCAAACCTACCACCTCATAGGTGGCAGCTCACCCCGGGGAATCCTCGAAGTGTTATTTCTTTACACAAAACTCCCGTAATTTTTTTTGCAATTAATGTACCCACATGTGCTTAAATGACACACAAAAACCAATTAAAATTGTTAATTAACGGGGTAAATGCAATTGGAATAAACGAATTACGACAAAACCTCCAATACGATGGGACCATGCAGAACGTGAACGGAAACATTTAAATCATATCTGGTTACATGAAACCTAAGTTAAAAATCTATTGTCCTTCCTGCTTTTAGAGACATCCTGTGGCTTATAGAGCACTATTGATTGCACACTGACGAACACAATTAATTGAGAAGGCTTCATCCCACTGTAGAAATGTGTAATTTAAAAACAAAAGCAGCAAACCACAACATTAAATAATTCACGTCATTTTTGCATATTCTTCAATAAATGCGTTTTGTTGAATATATGCTGTTTTTATACAAGTATTGGCAGCACTTAATAAATAAATCTGATCATTTGCATTCAAACTTCATGCTGATTCATAAACATTGTCAACACCTCGTCTGGACATTTGAGGTCTTTGTGTAATTTGAGCTTTTCGTGTTGTTGATCATTAGCTCTGTCAAGATTCTAAGCAGATTTGATTCATTTTCACAATTTCAGGAGTAGTTATTAGGAGTAAAGAATGTGTTATTTTGTGTCTAATTCTGCCGTCTCAATGGTATTCGTGGGTTTGTGTGTGTGTGTTCTATTTTTAGAGTTTGTTTTATTATTCCATAAAAGACGGGCATATCTTTCGATTTAAAGCTTTCGTGACTGCAAGGATTCATCTTCTTTGGTTCTTTCGATAAAGTCACGTGGAATGAGAATAAAATAATAAATTGATAAAATAAAATAACACAATAATATTCTCACGACGTTTTCGGCCACAACACAAGCAGCCTTCATCAGGTGAAGGGACGAGACTGAAGGCCGCTTGTGTTGTGGCCGAAACGTCGTGAGAATATTATTGTGTTATTTTATTTGATCAATTTATTATTTTATTCTCATTCTACGTGACTTTTCCCGAAAGAACCAAAGAAGACGGGCATATCGTTGCCACATAACGTGCCCAAATTGTAAATGATAAATTCTAATATGCACAAATGTTACGCATCATTTGCATGACATTATATTTGATGATAGTTCATTACACGTCACCTTTAAAGTGAAATTTAGTCAACTTCACGCATACATTCGTGCCCTTCGGACTGTTAAATTGTCTTAACCAAATGAGTGATTAAGTGTTTGTCAACAAATATTTTTGTTTAAGGCAACGAATACTACTACTACCTTCCCTAAGACCAAAAAGCGTGACATACTAGAACAAGACGATATTAACTCGTCTGATCGAAGATGCAGGCTAAGGTAATTTAGTAAGGCTATTAGAGGCTGAGGTGCACTTAGGAATATGCCACAATGGTCATTAGTTTTACTGCATATGTACATTACAAATATTACTAATTTCAACAATTAGCCGACCACGTAATATCCAGAAACTGAAAAAGTGCAAACCCATCACACCAAGATGAAACGAATAATAGTGGCCTAAATGTGAATGCTTTAGTCGATGAGACAAAGACTGACTAAAATATGAGATTCTGTGGAAATGTTCTACAGAACAATGCTCATGATGACAATGACGCTGCTACTGCTTTGTCGTTTAAATACCTCTGGTGAAATATATGCTGCAACTTCAGCCCCTGCTGCGCTGCCATCAGCCAAGTGAGTGGAACATAAAATTGGTTG